AACACATGGGGTTACGACTGGTGTAACCATGGCTACCACGGATGGCACACAGTTGACAACTCAACGTGGAAGACCACAGGTGCTTCACACATTGACATCGTTCATATTCGAGGTCCAGTCTGTTGTAAACTAATACAGTAATGTATGTTTGTGAGTATTTTAAATACTGCCTTGGTTGTAATGCCACAAGTACATGAACATGGAAGCAAATATGGAAAATGCTTTACATATAAGGTTAGTGCTCTTATAAAGTCTTCCTACAAAACAATAACATAGGGCAGCACTTTTATTTTCTGTGTTTCTCATCGCCCGACCCACCCTTCTAATTTTATTGCCACCCACCCCCACCCACCCAAAAATAATAATAAATACAAAATGATTAAAAAAATAAGTAAAAAAATAAGTAAACAATAAGAAATAAAAAAGACTTTTCATTACAACACCGCTGATTCGAACCAACAACGTACCGCCTCGTCATGTAAAATGTTTATCTTTTAATAAGTCGCTGACACAAATCCAATGAACGCGAGAAATTGTAATAACCGACTAACATGTTCAGAATTGGGTGGCTACGAGAAACACATGAAAACAAACGATGCCCATACTATTGTCGTGAGCTGAGGGACTGATAACAATAGTCTGGAGTTAATATACGCCAGGTACATTTGACCCATAGATGAAATTCCTATTTGCAGCAGATTCCTCTCCACGAGATGGAAGGTATGCTGACTTCTATCGCCACGTCGCCAATCTCCAACATGTCTAGTGTTGAGGTGGAGGCCCTGGTGTCACACTTCAGTCGAGTTGTGTCTCATGTCGGGGCTGCCAGTCAAACCGATGTCAGAAAAATGACTGATGCAATAGTCAAGTTATCAGCCATGGAAACGTGTGATAAAAATACTTTTCAGGTATATATACGACATCAATTGGACCTAGTTGTAGGTACACCAACTTTAAGATATAACACAATTTTTAACACTGAAATTAAAAGTTTGACGTGTATGCATTTATGGTGATGATGAAAACGGGTGTCCTAAAAAAGTGAACCGGTTTTTGACAGGTATAGATAGATAAACCGAATTTATTAATTTTTCAGAGTAGCCCCAGGTTATCATCAACAAATATATACTATATCTATGAGATTGGTTGCAATTTATGCGACTAATGTCAAATCCTCTAACAAGCATGTAAAAAAATGCAATGATATATGGGACTCTCTAAAGGGAAAAGTTTACCGAGGAGTGAGAGACAAATTGACCGAGCAGGCGTTAAAGGACTGGATAATTATGTGATGGGAGGAGATGTCGGTGGAAGAAATACGTAAAAGCATTTCTGCTTGAAAGAAACGGCTTCGTTTAGTTGTGAAGGAAGATGGAGGCCATATTGAGCATAGACGGATTTCCCATATGGCATTGTATTTTTTGACATGCCTTTTTTGAATTTGAAAACCTTGAAATTTTGGAGAAAATTCTTTAAAATTACAGGATTAAGAAATTCAACCCCTCGTTTCATGCTGTATGGGGAACTTGGAAGATTCCCAATTATTATTATTATTATTATTATGATATATAAACGTTTCTTAAACTTTTGGCACAATTTAACTTACCAAGAAGGTGTTTTTAAGCTTACGAACTTAATTTACAAGTATTTATCACTTCAAAGATCAATAGATAAAAAGATAATCCCTGTCTCAAGCACGTTAAAATATATTAGACAATACTGGACTCTCGTATGTTTTTGAAAATCCCTCAATTTGTACTACCCAGTGGCTGGTCTCAAAAGTTGAACATATTCTTAAAGATCAATTTATCCAAAACTGGCACAATGACATTATTTCTAGTCCTAAGGGTATACACTATCAGCACCTAAAGCCATGTCCCAATTTTGATGTATATCTCCTCCTTCCAAAACGCATTTCTTTACCATTATTGAGATTTAGAACATGTAACCATAGTTTACCTATTGAGACGGGCCGCTGTATAATATTCTAAGGGACGAGAGAACGTGTCAACTATGCACTTCTAAAAGCATCGCAGATGAATACCACTATATTTTTCATTGCAAAGCATTAGATACTTTGAGGAAAGAATATTTACCCTCCCACCTAACCTCTTTTCCCAATGAAACAAAGTTCACGAAAATATTAACTGTAAAAACATCTCGAGACATAGTAAATCTATCAAAATATATCCTACATCTATCATCTCTTGTCAGAAAAAATGTTAATATGTTGTTTACTGCCATCTTGAATTTGAATTTATATTTGTATATATGTTTACAATATATGCTCTTGTACCACCAAGGTGGTTTATGAGAATAAAGAATTGAATTGACAATGCTCACAGAATTTGCGACCAATCTATTAGAAATTTTGTGGACTTGTTGATGATAACCTATGGTTTATTTTTAAAATAAATTCGGTTTATCTATCGCTGAGAAAATACTTATCAAAAACCTGTTCACAGTTTTGGGGGACACCCGATATACATCTCATTTGTGCATGGGTTCCCTAATATAGATAAACATTGAGTTCTATTACTTCACCTCTATGTCATCTAGTGTATCATATACATTAAAGTGTGTAGTGTACAATGTTTTGACTTGTACACAGATGTATGCCACCAGCGTGTCTACCGTCATGTCTATGATGGATCCAGACCAGGAGCAAGACCAGGATGGCGTGGAGCGGGATGGCCAGGTCAGGCAACGTGTGTACGATAGGGTGGATGTGGTGAATGTGTTACATTGAGTTTCAAAGTTGTGAATGTAGGTGTATAATATTGTTATTTGTTTAGGTCTGGATGCAAGGATGTATTTGGATGTGAATGTGATACTGATGTGTTGCGCATGTGTGATGTAGATGTGATGTGTTGTGGATGTAGATGTTCATATAGAAGTGTTGTGGATGTAGATGTCGATGTTGATGTTCATACAGATGTGTTGTGGATGTACATGTAGCATACAGTAGATGTATGGATGTGGATGATGTTCATACAGATGTGTTGGTGGATGTAGATGTTCATACAGATGTGTTGTGGATGTCGATGTTCATACAGATGTGTTGTGGATGTAGATGTTCATACAGATGTGTTGTGGATGTGGATGTGTGTTGTGGATGTAGATGTTCATACAGATGTGTTGTGGATGTAGATGTTCAGATGTGGATGTAGATGTTCATACAGATGTGTTGGTGGATGTAGATGTTCATACAGATGTGTTGTGGATGTAGATGTTCATACAGATGTGTTGTGGATGTGGATGTTCATACAGATGTGTTGTGGATGTATACAGATGTGTTGTGTGGATGTCGATGTTCATACAGATGTGTTGTGGATGTAGATGTTCATACAGATGTGTTGTGGATGTGATGTGGAGATGTTCATACAGATGTGTTGTGGATGTAGATGTTCATACAGATGTGTTGTGGATGTAGATGTTCATACAGATGTGTTGTGGATGTAGATGTTCATACAGATGTGTTGTGGATGTAGATGTTCATACAGATGTGTTGTGGATGTCGATGTAGATGTTCATACAGATGTGTTGTGGATGTAGATGTTCATACAGATGTGTTAGTGGATGTAGATGTTCATACAGATGTGTTGTGTCGATGTAGATGTTCATACAGATGTGTTGTGGATGTAGATGTTCATATAGATGTGTTGTGGATGTAGATGTTCATACAGATGATGTTCATACAGATGTGTTGTGGATGTAGATGTTCATACAGATGTGTTGGGATGGATGTCGATGTTCATACAGTGTGTTGTGGATGTAGATGTTCATACATGATGTGATATTGTGTTGGATGTCGGATGTAGATGTGTTGTGGATGTAGATGTTCATACAGATGTGTTGTGGATGTAGATGTTCATACAGATGTGTTGTGGATGTAGATGTTCATACAGATGTGTTGTGGATGTAGATGTTCATACAGATGTGTTGTGGATGTAGATGTTCTATTAGTCCAGCTATGAGTGTAAGGCATGCGCTCACACGAACGTTATGCTTTCTCTTTAGCCCGAGGCTGTCTTGGAAGCGATGGAGAATGTGATGCTTGCAACGAAGATGATATCAGTGGAGGAGATGTATGAGAGCTTCTGTAAGTTGTGTCCAATGTGAACGGTTGGTTGTATACAATGTATCAATGTTCCCATTCATGTAACAAAATTACTCTTTTCATCAGATTCCTATCACCGACTCGGTGTTTTTCATTAGATACATACCTCTGAGTTCATGTTTTCCATGTGTTTAGCCCATCTGTGTCTCCCGCCGTGATATTGCTGCAACATAGCTAAAAGCGGCGTTAAACCATACTCACTTACTCATGTTTTTCATTTGATACGTACCACTGAGTAAGTGTTTTGATGTGATACGCAGATGTCCGGATCGTCACATTCAATGGCAGTAAAGACGAGCTGGACATCCACGAGAATCACCACACCGATCACATACATCTAGCATCCTCGGTCTTCACTGCTGGACACGGTAAATATAGCTGCCATGTGGAATAAGCGGTCCATATATACGTATAGAATTTAAACTCACTTACACTATAAGTTGTATGCTCCTATGGAGGATAATACGGTCTGATGTACGCCTTTTTGTAGCAGTATCACACGATCCGGTAGGCGAGGGATGACACTGCTACAAAGAGGCGTACATCAGACCATATTACCCGAGGGAGAAGCATACAACGTATTTATCTTACCGCCATGTTATATGTACAAAACATTTTATTTTATGTTAAAGACCGCGGCTGACTATATGACATGTAAACAAAATGGCATCTGCCTCTCGACTGGATTTTAAAAATCAGTAAAACATATTCTGACAAGCTTAAAACTGCTATAAAAATGGTTTAATTGTGTTTAAAGTTGAGTGTGCAAACCATTTAATGTATAAAAAAGCTTAGATAAAGCAGTGAAAGTCGGAAAAATATATCTGTACAAAGTGAACACAAACGGTTTTCGAACTCTGGGCACGACATGTGTCATATTATGACGTCATACGATTGTAAGCGCTTCAACTTCTCGGTGGAGAGCTAGGCGGTTAGGTGGCAGCGGGTAATATTTTTGTCCAGTTGTCACCCTCCTGGGAGGGGAGACACGGACACGTGTTAAAGCGTCATGGACCAATGAAATTAAAGTATTTTACATGAAGGTAAGATAAATTTCATTATGTAGATACAGAAAATAATATTCGAATGTTATCTCTTCTATTATGCAATCAAACAGGTGACTGTCGTATTCAGGCGGCAAACTAATATTCGATGACCACTGTACACTTCCATATCACACTGGTTCCCTACTGTTCTCCAAAACAGTTTTACTTATTATTTACTTTTGATTTTGACCAGGGCGGGTGTCCACTGTTGTTTACAAGAACCTGCACCGGAAGATGTCAAAAAGAAGCCGGAAGTACCGGAAGGCTAAGCTGGGCAGCCAGGTCATCTCTGTAGCTGTTCAGGATGCGCACTATCCCCACAAAGCGAAAGTAGAAACACCCAACGCAATCAACTTCACAGTGGCACGAGTTGACAGAAAGGTTGTCAACAATTTATGTACGCATGATAGAAATTCAAAATGTCAGGGTATAGAAATCAATTTACAACATCAACAAAATTGACAACACTTCACCTAGATTGATAAAATTGGTTTGGAAACAAAGACGTGTTTGTAAGTGTACTCTGTGATCTATAGCTTTGTTCTGTAATATGTGTGCATGTGTGTCAGGGCGAGGAAGAGAAAACCCGTATCTGTGCCTTCTGGAACACCAACGAAGCTGAATGGTCGGACACCGGGTGTCATCTACTGAGTCAGAATAAAACCCATACGACCTGCTCGTGCGACCATCTCACCAGCTTCGCCGTTCTTGTGTTGTACTACAACGATGATGAAGTTAGTTCAATTTTATTCTATTCATGATGTACTTGGATTATTTGATATATGGCTCGAATTCAAAACTGGGTTAAACATTCATCTGATCGGAAAGAAAGCATTGAATCCAAAGAATTCCAACTTGGCATAAAATCGTAAATGGACATTGAGCAACCATGGTTTAAAATAACAATGTATTTTATGAGAAACCGCAGATGATCTTATTATATGAACTGATACATTATTTTGGCCCATGTCTATAGGTATCTGATATCAATGAGCGAGTGCTGTACATACTGTCAGCTGTTGGCTGTAGTTTGTCCATCCTGGGACTGGCCATGACCCTCTTCAGCTTCACATATCTCAGGTAACGGTGCCCTTCCTTCACACCTGTATGATGTCTGCTGTCGTTACAGGACAACACGGACACTGTAAAACACATTGAATCATAGGTATTGAAACACACTGAATCATAGGTATTGAAGCACATTGAATGATAGGTATTGAACCATATTGAATCATAGGTATTGAAACACATTGAATCATAGGTATTGAAGCACATTGAATGATAGGTATTGAACCATATTGAATCATAGGTATTGAAACAAATTGAATCATAGGTATTGAAGCACATTGAATGATAGGTATTGAAACACGTTGAATCATAGGTATTGAAACACATTGAATCATAGGTATTGGAACACATTGAATCATAGGTATTTGAACACATTGAATCATGGGTATTGAAGCACATTGAATGATAGGTATTGAAACACATTTAACCATAGGTATTGAAGCACATTGAATGATAGGTATTGAAACATATTGAATTATAGTTATTGGCCGATTGATAATTAGAGCTACAAATGCACACTTCAAAACTAACTGGCTGTGATGCAGGATGCTGCACCGGGAACGGATCTTGATCCATGCAAATCTGGCAGGCTCTCTCATGCTTGCCCAGATTATCTTTGTTGCTTCAAGTGACGCCCACAAGAGCCAGGTGAGTCTTCTCACATCTACTATATATCATGTACATAGATACAAATGAATTTTTCAGTATCAACCTTTTACTACACGTTTTCCCCAAATAAATGAAGATTTATTTACTGGTAAAGTCTGTTTGGCTCAAAAGCGGACGGATGAATTGCAATCTAACTCGAAAAGTAATAAACATATAATACTCAATGAAACGCTGATCATAATCAAAACATCAGACCAACCCTGTGATTTGTTTGCAGAATTTATGTCCTAAAATTAAAAAAGTTGTTTAACAAATTATCATTAAAATTTTGACACAGTTCACTATTTGTTACGAGGGAGGAGTGCAGAGAAAGGGACAGCCAGGTGTTAGAGAAGCACGTGCACAAGTGCCGACAAAGTTATTGATTCATTAACCTGTGCTGCGCCGTCTCCATCCTTTCTCGCACACCTGGCTGTCCCTTTCTCTGCACTCCTCCCTCGCAACAAATAATGAACTGTGTCAATATTTTAATGATAGTTTGTTTATTTTTAGGACATAAATTCTGCAAAGATCTCACAGAGTTGATCTGACGTTTCGATTATGATCAGTGTTTCATTGAATATTTTATGTTTATTAGTTTTCGAGTTAGATTGCAATTCATCGGTCCGCTTTTCAGCCAAACGGACTAGAGCATGAATGTGTGGTCTTCATGCAGTCTGTCACTTCTGTGTCGGTTCAACATAGGAATATGATTACCTATAGGGTAACCCTGTGACCCCAGTCAAACCACATTTAAAAAAAACAACTAAAAGTGAGCCCTTGCGAAAAAACCTAAAACTACATCTCATCTACTCGTGGAAGTGTTACACTGTTCCCATCGCACTGTAGGTCCTGTGCAAGGTGGTGGCGATCTCGATGCACTTTTTCTTCATGGCTGGCTTTACGTGGATGATGCTTGAAGGACTTTGTCTTTACCTCAGCTGTTTACGGAGTCACCACAACTACGGTGACATGCGTCTCAAATACGCAGTCATCGGTTGGGGCGTGCCTATCATCATCGTCATCCTCTCCGTAGGTATACAGTTCCCTCACTACGGCGATGGCCCGGGGGACAGGTGAGTGATTTTAGATTACGGTGCAAAGGATATGAGTTGTGGAATGCAATATGTTCTTCATTGTGTATACATGTATTATGTTGTGTTTATAACAGGGAATGGGATTGCTGATTTGTATATGAATTAAGGTGATATGCGTACTATGTGTTATGGTGTGTGATTTATGGTAGCGCCAGGTAAGGTGGAATTGATTAGGAATTGGTGCACAACTGTATTGGGTCCCGATCAACACAGCGTTCGTAGCACTACGACATTGTTAGCCTATGGTAAGCTATTACGATATGTCGTAACGTTACGAACGCTTTGTGGCTCGGGACCCATGTTGGTTATGAAACAAGGCTGGTGTTCTAAGATGTTGTAGCCTATGATTCCTGGATGGTTGTACTGTGACCATGAACATACAGACCCATAATGATCTGGCTTAATGACTTCTACTAATCCAGCCCTTCATTACCAATCAGCTGTTGGCTGTCAGCTGAACACGGACTCATCTGGGCTTTCATGGCACCCATGCTCCTCATCGTCATCGTAAGTGTGATGACTCTAGTGATCTGACCCGGTGCGGACATATACACATATTCCAATTATGAACTGACAAACAAACTTGTCGCTACTTGCGTTTCATGTTTGATAGGCCATTTCACAGTAAAATATAATCAAATACATTGCACAACTCAATACCCGAACAGCTGCACCAGATTCGAACCGACCTGGCACTTGATTTCGTTACGTATAGCCAAGTATCCAGATAGTAAGCTAATTAGAGGCTCGGATAAGTGTATGACTATGGTGAACGGTAACATATTGATCCTATGAAACATATTGTGTGTTGCGACACTTTGTTCCATGTGTACATTTTAAAAGGGTACAGTGCAGCATCGTTGGTGGCAGGTTCTAGCACAACGGATGATAATAAGCTCTGATATTGATCTCAAGTCCTCCCTGGTCCCCAGAAACACTGATCATTTATTCTTTTACAATACTCGTTACTTTGTGCTGCTTTTAAACTATATGTCAGCGTATGTCATTTCTTGCACAGCACTAAACCGAGATAGTGTGATAACGCTGCCATTATGTTTAAGTGTCAGTGATATATTGTGTCTGGTGTTGTAGTTCAACCTGATCATCCTGGGCCTGGTCATCAAGGTGTTTCTAACCCTCAAGGCCAACTCACAGAAGACAGAGGCTGCTCGCATCAGGTATGCGAGGTACACTTCTTGGAAGTTAATTAACCATTTTATGACATAACGTTATCAATTGAGACGCCATGTCCATTACGTCATATTGGTCATAAGAACAGTTATAATCAGTAGCGTCCATCTCCTGTCTTCCCCAGAGCCAGCCTGAGAGCCATGTCCATTACGTCATATTGGTCATAAGAACAGTTATAATCAGTAGCATCCATCTCCTGTCTTCCCCAGAGCCATGTCCATTACGTCATATTGGTTTTACTGTTATAAGCAGTAACGTCCATCTCCTGTCTTCCCCAGAGCCATGTCCATTACGTCATATTGGTTTTACAGTTAAAATCAGTAGCGTCCATCTCCTGTCTTCCCCAGAGCCAGCCTGAGAGCCATGTCCATGCTGCTGCCACTGCTAGGGGTCACGTGGCTGATCAGCATCCTCGTCCCCTACAGCACCATCTTCCACTATCTGTTCGTCATCGGCAACTCTCTGCAGGTGCACACATAATCAAACCCGGGCTTACACTCAACATATAGTACACCCGTGAAGATCCGGGTTAGAATTGATCTTCAGCAACCCATGCTAGTCGTAGGAGGCGATTAACGGGATCGGGTGGTCAGGCTCGCTGACTTGGTTGACACATGTATCTCAATTGCGTAGATCCATGCTCATGCTGTTGATCACTGGATTGTCTGGTCAAGACTCGTTTATTTACAGATCGCCGCCAAACTAAACTCACTCACTCAACATATAGTACAAACACCAAGCGTATTATGCAAGGTCTTGATAGTATATTTGGATATGCGATCGCCTGTGTTTGCTTGTTCCTGTTGTAATGAATTCCCGTTGTGTAGCGGTAGTCATATGCGGGATGGGCTTTCAGTTAAATCATAAACAAACATTAATGTTTATGCTGGGGAGCCTATAGACACCAGCACCTAACGATACAACAGTCAACAAAAAGCATATGGTGTGTTAGTTAGTGGCCGCGGTTAACAATACCCGGCTATTGCTGGCCGGACAATGCATATGAGTGAGTGAATGTAGTTTTACGCCGCACTTAGCAACATTTCGGCTATATGGCGACAATCTGTAAATAATCGAATCTGGACCAGACCATCCATTGATCAATAGCATGAGCATCGATCTACGCAATTAGGATATGATGATATGCCAGTGAGCCTGATCACCCGATCCCTTTAGTCATCTTTTACCACAAGCACGGGTTACTGAAGATCAATTCCAACCCGGATCTTCACGGGTATTATTCATATGAGCGCGATTCCACGTGAAGTAATCGTATACAACAACTAGAACATTCTCGTTTACCACCTTGTGCTGAGTATGCTGGACCTAACCTTATGAATAAAATAGGTTCAGATGTTCCTTGCCTTCAATTAAAAAGTGTCAGTCACATTTCAGTTAAAATGGTTAATAGATATACTCATAGAAGCGAATAAGGGAACTCCTGAAAATACAAGTGTTCCTGTATTTATTTCCAGAATTTCACTCTCAGTGCAATACATACCTTGTGAAGAAACCTTGAAAAGATTAAAGGAACACTTGTACTTTTATATGTTCCCTTATTCGTTTCCATGAGTATATATATCGCTATAGTAAACTACGTTTATATGCGAATAACGAACTACAGTTATTACGAGTTTGGGTTCGGTATAACCGAAGTTTTGTGTATCATCAGTAAATGTATAGACTGGATGTTTCATTTCAGGGTTTGCTGATTTTTTTCCTCCACTGTCTGTGCAATGATGAGGTGAGTTCGTCTATGTCACATAAAATTACCTCATGTTAATTTTCATGCGCTCCAGTTTCGAAAGACATGTAAACACTGGTGGTACAATAGATCATGTATAGAACATAGGTTGTATATAATCATCGTCTAAGTTGTGCCAGTTACAACAGATCAAATACCAAAAACACCCATTTACCTATATAATCATAGGAAGTATAGTTTAATAATGTTGATCATATTATGCAAGCATCAACTGGAACCTAACATCGACTTTGTATATTTTTAGGTACGGAAGTTCCTCGCTGCTAAGCGAGCCACGCCCACCATGGGGACAGCCACCTCGGACATCGGCGAAAGCGCACTTTGGAGGCGTCGGCGGTCGGCGGCGGTAGGGTAGAAATTATAGCTAGCCAGACAGTGCGTGGAACTGAGAAATCCGGAAGACTTGAAGTTTTATTGTGATGATAATCAAACGCTCGTTATTATGCTTGCATCAGAATCCTCATCGCCTTGGTTGGTTGATAGAGTACAAAGCAAATGTTTCCACTTAATGTGGTCCTCGCCAACACAAGCCTTCATTTGATACGAGGAAGTAGATGCGGTGATGATTGGTTTCTAAGGTATTGTGTGCCATCCCCTCTCGACGGGGCTGCTCAGAATACCCATGACTGTTTGCTCTGGTCTGGAGTCAAGGTCACCGTTACACGTAGTTTACACGTTTCTGCGATCAGCGTGAACATTACGAAACAAACATGAAAAGTTGCATGCATTTGCAAGTACGCTAACTTATATACGTTGCAAGTTTTAGAACTTCCACCATGCGGGGGTGGTGATTATGATATCAACCTTTTGTTTGCCTGACACAGTCTCTATAATAATAATTGTTATATTATTGTTGTTATATTATAAATACACTCTTCAAAAAAAAGAAACGCATAGACCAAAATTAAGGAAATGTTTTAAACTTATTTAAATGTACATAACTCGATTAAGTTTGAACATAGATAAAGGAAATTCGACACAAGGATGAACAGATGTGTTGTTGTCATTGTCAGCATTAATTCAGTTCACTCACTGCACATGTGTGGACACCAGGGGCCGTTCAGGTCAGTATCTGGTGACACCACCCCTTTTGCTGTCAGAATGCCTTGAACCAACACTAGGTCTGATCTATCGGTTTAGGACACGGCTTTCCACACCATGCCGCTTTATTCACCAAATCTGCCCACCTGTCGAACGCAGTTCGGCGCAAAACGTTCGTGTTGACGTCGATAGACACGTTGTCTCCTATCCCGTCGTGGCAGGAGGAAACGAACTTCATCGCTTAACCAAACGCGTTCCATGCTTTCCCCAGGTTCCATGTCTGTACCCTGTTGCACCATTGGACATTGTGAGTGTAGTCGTGTCAGGACAAGTCCAACTTTGGTCGATATGCTCGAATTCCCACTTCTCTCAGACGATTTCTGATAGTTTGGTCTCAAATTCTTCGAAGACCAGGCACCTGTCCTGCAGTTTCCGTTGCTGTTGCAAATCGGTAACGTAGGTGAAACACCTTGACGAGTCGGTCCTGAGCAGGAGTGGTCGCTCTTTGGTCGAATTGAAGCGGGTATATCGATGTCATAATCGAGATATGGTGCTGTGGTGGACGTTGAAGTGTCTTGAAGTGTCCCCTGCTTCCAAACGTCCAATGGCGATGTTTCGGTCAGTAGCATTCAATTTTGGCATTTTTTTATCTTCGTTTACATCGTAAATTTCGTAATGAAATGATGAATTTGGTTTAGTCTTTTATAGTCGATGTCTCTACTCATGTGCCGACACATTGCACGTGGATAACATTTTTTGCATGCATCGTTTTCATTTTTTATGACAAACGTTTACAAACACATGTTGGTAAGCGTTTGCGCGCAATACACAACAACCACGACATGATTAACGGGATTCAAACATAGGAATTGTCTATATATGACGGCTGCTTTCAAAGTATATCGAAATGAACTGCCCAAAACGCCTATGCGTTTCTTCTTTTAAAGAGTTATATCTCGGTTTTATTATGTGACCACATTTTGTAAGGTACTAGGTGAGTCGCAGATAACAACTCTCTCATTTACACAACATACTGTTTCAGGCGAATCGTTCAGTCGTGTCACATCATGGACAGCACCACTCTCATTTACATGATATACTGTTTCAGTCATGTCACATTTGGTATGGAGCTCCAGTTATTTTCACATTATTCTGTTTCAGGCTCTAAGCTTTGATGACGTACAGTCCAGATGTCACACAAGTGCACCAGGTGAATATTGAAACTCTGTGATGCAGAATACAGCATCAGAATACAGCAATCGTTTGGGGTTTTACTTGTGAGTGAGTGAGTGGGTTGAGTTTTACGCCGCTTTTAGCAGTATCACGACGGGGGCTTCACACATCGTACCTATGTGGGGAATCGAAGACGTGTCTTCGGCGTGACGAGCTAACACTTACTACTGGGCTACCCCTATATAGCTGACAGTTTACAGAAAGATGTCTAACAAACTTGCCATACCTTCACATAAAAGCTGCCTCAAACTTCCACTGCAGGCTGATCGTGAATTGCTTCATTGTGGTGGTTTCTCTCTCTCTCTCTCTCACTCACTCACTCACTCACCCTCTCTCTCTCTCTCGTGAATTGCTTCATTGTGGTGGTTTCTCTCTCTCTCTCTCTCTCTGTGTCGTGTGTGAGGTTTTGAGTGTGTTGAATGAAATTTCATAGACTGCAGGAGTCGTGTCCTACTTAAACCGCCGGTGTTTGTCGTTGTAGGTCGCCGACATGCGTGGATATGAACTCGGGGACAAGAGAAGATCACAAGGATTGTGTGTAGCGTCTCTCTCACTCTCTCAAGGTCACTATACTGACCTTGCGCTGTCACGTGCGCGGCTACACGACAATGTTGTGGTGGTCACGGACGGGTGACTATTGCGGGGCTAAATGCACGTGTTTGTGACTGATAACAAAGGGATAAACCTCTCAACGGAAATCAAATGATTTACGTAATTCAATAATAAAAATCGCTGAAGATTAGCTCACTGAAACGTGTTTCTTGTTGACTGTGTTATTGATCGCGTCCACTTCGGTAAGTATTACTGAAATTAGACCAATATATATAGTGTATTAGAACAGTACACCGTTCATTGGTTGTCATTTTTACGTGTCAAGCAGTCCAACAGGAGGTGTCGTTTACATTTGGAGCACGTCTACACTGTATGACCTTACAGTCTGACTATTTGACTGCAGCCTTCGTTCACTTCAATGACTCTTTCTCTCCATTGACGGATCAGTGCAGCGATTCACAACACAGCACAGAAACATCAAATTGCACTTACGCGAGGTAAGTTGTTTTGAGTATTAATCAACCTTACCAAGGGTTATTAACCGCAGTGAGAGATTACACGATTTCATGTTATGTGTGTCATGTGTCGATGGGAGAGTCTCCATGCCCCACATATACACACGGTAACCAGTACCACAACACCCTAAATGTTTCATAGAATAATACTGCTACCATATAGCATGCCAAAGGAACTTCTCCAATACTCAATTATTGACCCTCAAGGAATAATAAAATGGCAAATGCAAAAGCGAAAAGAACGAAAAACCGTAGCTTATCCATAGCGGTAAACAAGGCAAATAGATGGACTCATTTATGGTGCTGATAACTGTGGTTGCATGACATTAAAAAGTGCGATAATTTTCTAAATTTTGGCATACAATCCTCAGTGTGTCACATAAGCATAAAAAACCCCGAGAACAATGTCAATATGTGGCGTATATTAATAACGTCCCTGACCTCTCTGACTGTATCAGAATTTGACTTTGAGGTATTGTGTTCTTGATGGAGGGCTCGTCACACTGCTGCATCAACATCTTGTACTGGAAGACCTCTCAGGCAAATTCTGCGACCAAACACGCGCTATGGGACTGAGATCTGGAATCCTGACGAGCCAAGGAGTTGCTTCTGAGTTTTGATGTAGGAAATCACCGACATGCCCGATATGGCCTAGCATTACCATCCATGAAGACTGGGCTTGTGCTCAGAGGATGGTCAGCAAAATGAAAATCTTTGTGGAAGTGTCATTTGAGGAGGGCCCATGTTTGCTTTTCAAAAACTAAATCAATTGATTTCCAAAGTCATCGAGCTGTTATAGCAGTTTACTTCACAAAACTTCGCTCGCCTTTGAACAGGTGATTTGGATATTAGCGCTATAGAAATATATATAAAACATAATTATGATACAGATATATGGCTACATGACATACTCGTTGCGATTTCTTCCCTTCTGAATACTCATCTGGTTATAGGGTACATAAATATAATATATATATATATATATATATATATATATATATATTCCTATTTGCTCACAATTTCATGGATCAGTGAGCGACTTAGATATTCGTGCATAGGAGTGCCAAGTCCACATATATGGTTCCGAAGCCAGAGAGGCAGCAACATGCATTAAACTTGGACAAAGTACTGTGACTATGTGTCCCAGTCCAGCCAGCTGTGAAAGGGTACCTCGTAAGGATGGGATCGCCACGTTAACTTGGTGTGACTAGTGGCTGCACAAGTTGTATGCTCCCCTATGCTCGGATGTTCCCGATTAACCACAGACCACTGCCATATGATTACAATATTGCAATGTCTAACAAGAACCAGTTCAAAAGACATGGCACCGAGTGTGTGAAAATAATAACTGTAGATTTGCTGACGGAGCGGACATTGAGATATTTAACTACAATATGATCTCCAGGACACACTTTCTGACCAAAGCTTACATCTATCACTCAAGCGTTCTTATTTGTGTCTATATTTTCAGGGGCGGTGGGGTAGCCTAGTGGTTAAAGCAATCGCTTGTCACGAAGAAGACCCTGATTCCATTCCCCACATGGGTACAATGTGTGAAGCCTATTTCTGGTGTCCCCCGCCGTGATATTTCTGGAATATTGCTAAATGCGGCGTAAAACTAAACTCAATCACTCTATATTTTCAGTAATCGCTGGGAATGCCTGTACGAGTAGTGACGCGGCATAATACAACACTGTGTCTGCAATACAATACCAGTTTAGCAGGGAGCAATTTTAACAAGCATATATATTGGCAAACATATTGCCTAAAATCGACATGCCTTCGTTTAATGCAGGGTCTCAGTAGAGACTTGTCTCGAGTTTTCGTCTATCTGACATTTTGGAGAAAACACAAATCAGCAAGCCATATCACCCAGAAAGCAATACACGAGAAGGATTGTGGGTGTTAACATTAATATTCATTTGTCGCCAGAATTGAAACAGGGCGAATATAGACCTGAATGTAGTTGATTGGTTGGTTTGTTGTTTAACGCCACACTCAGCAATATTCCAGCTATATGGCGACGGTCTGCAAATAATCGAGTCTGGACCAGACAATCAAGTGATCAATAGCATGAACATCAATCTGCGCAATTGCGATACGATGGCATGTGTCAACCAAGTCAGCGAGCCTGACCACCTGATCTTACGACAAGCCTGGGTTACTGAAGACCAATTCTAACCCAGATCTTCACGGATTCCTGGGCGTCAGAAATTGATGGAGGTTATAAGGAGTAGGCACTGCGGTATACCAGTAAGCTGCGGATCAGCTGATCAGGTCCTTACGGGGCATATACAAGCCTAAATGCTCCGTGAAATAGGTTGGTCCAATTGTCCTAACACACTTACCGTAGATCAGATATACAAGCCTGTGGGCCTACCGTCCTGGTCCATGTAAAATAACCGTTAGACAAACTTGAAACGTGAGGAATACATGTAACGCCGTTTTAACTGTTCATAGGTGTATACACCGATCAATGCTGCACGACATGATGTGCCTTAATGCAGGTTAGGGAATCTGTCTTTACCTTTACTTGTTCACCATAAGCGTCGTAAGACACGCTCAGTCGTATATTGAACTATGGACTACTTAAAAAATATGCGTTTAATTTTTTTTGTATAGATACTGCAAACATCCCGCTTATCGCTGCTAATAACATAAGCACTGTACTGACATAGCACGCAGATAATTCTATACCAAACTAATTACTTCATGGATCACTGATCTCACGCTGTATGTTAGACGTCGGTGTGTTACCACTTCATTATAACGTGCTAGGACAAGTTGGTGGTTATATATAGTCGGTCTATTTTTCTTGGTTCAGTGTATAAATGTATCGAATGACAATGCGAGTCACGGAACTACATCACAATGTCACTGTAACTCGCTGTCTGTGTGCACAGTTCTAACGGTACGGTGTGCCTCTCTGGCCCACCATCTACCAGCCTGGCGTGAGGGTGGACACAAGACTACCTCGGCCTAATTGTTCACAATACAGGCAAATCAACGCATTCTAAATCATGTTTCTCATCTGGAGCATCAACTCGGCGCCTGAACAGGCACGGACTTGTTATTACACCTGATCGACGCAGCATCGACGACGATGACGCCTTTACCACGTACCAGGCTGTACACATGTAACGCCGACTATTCATCAACGTTGTGCTCATGTGCTTTACCTACAACCATACTTTTCACGATGACCACGGGTGACTGGTTGCATGATGCATGTGATACACACAACAACCAATTGTGATACTTTGTTTAAGTTCTGGGACTGACGCTTAAGAAGTGATCTTCAAAAGGAAGACTAAATAATTGTCTATTCCATAATCACTTCACCGATGTCAGCATGTCGTAACTGCGAGTGAGTATGTTTTTACTGCGCATGTAGCAGTATTCCACCAATAGCACATCAAGGGACAATAAAATATGGGCTTGACTCCCTGTGCCTAGGTGGGGAATCGAAACTGAGTTTCCGGGTGAAGGCCAGTGCTTTCACCGCAAGGCTACCCCACCTCCCCGTCGTGTGTAAAGACATTGTATATTCCATTTACAATCACTACCTTATTTTAGATTACGTTTAGTGAGATTTAGTGTTTTGCCATGTCTTAATTTTATCATCCTTAAAACGAAGATATCTAGTTAAGTCATATGTCGAGATGTCAAAACTTTATGGATAATCAACTTTTTTATTTTAACAATGGCGACGTTTCGGTATAGATTCTTATACCGTTTTCAAGCATATGGGGGAATGATGGGATGCACCAGTCTATTTACAAGATACATGTATGTACATATGATAATGAGATAACAATAACAAAGGAGGGAAAACAAAGCATCAAAGAAAGTTACATGATGAGCTACAGTAGCATGATGATGAGCTAAGATAACATAAATGAGATGAGTGGGATTACCATGACAATTAGTGAATGTAGGTTAATTACTCAAGAAGCCAAGGTGGTGATGGTGGTGGGTCTGGGGGTGGGGTTGGGAGGATTAATTAGTGGGAAACCAGTGGTGAGGGTATATAAACTGGTGTATCCCATCATTCCCCCATATGCTTGAACGCAAACAAATCAAGTCAAATGTCGTCACACGTGCTAGTTCACAATTACACCACGCGGTTGTGTGAGCAGGTGCATCAGTGCATTTGCATTAACAACAGCTGCACTCCGGTAATACATTTCAGCGTTCTCGTTTAATTACATGTCAGTTTGCTACTTAACCATCATGACAAACTTTTATATCAATAGAGAGTTAGTAGATACCTACATCACGAAGTCGTCTTCGCACTTGCCCCACTCTGACCAATGCAGCTTTTCTCATGCTTTACCTGTCGACGATTGTCTCCCTTCGTGGGTTCTCTTCGCAGTTGTCTTGGCGTATTATTCAGGTTAGGTGTAGAAGGTGCAACGCTGGTATGTTGTGGTCGTCATTATAAGGGCGTAGTGCTTTCTGTCTGTGTTGTATTTTCTTTAAACACGTATCTGGTGCTCCATGGCAACTGCATATTTTGTATTCGGTGTGTGTAAGTAATTCTACAAATCTCCTGTGCTTTGTGTACCACTCGCTATTACTCCATTTGTGCACACAGACAGCGAGTTACAGTGACATTGTGATGTAGTTCCGTGACACGCATTGTCATTCGATACATTTATATACTGAACCACAAAAGAAATGTCGCTTTTCAAAACCAAATGCAAAATTTTGTTCTTGCAATGTGTTTTAATTATGATTGTACTGTTTTGTTAACATGTTTTTTAATCCAAATTGACATTTATTACCAACATCATTGTGTTTTCTGATGAAAAAGCATATCGACCAAACGCACCGAAAAAGGCAGACATGGTAAAAGTTTCCGCATGAAATTCGTGAAAATGAAAATGCACGTGCTTGTCGTGACAACCCTACCAATGAAAGGGAGTCCCAAATTCTCCTGAAATCGTTTTTGTTTTGACACAATCACCATGCCACCACTTACAAGAGATCAGAGGAACCAAGTGTTGGGACAATTGCAAGTTGTTCAGACTGCACGGAGGGTAGCCAATCATTTCAATGTTCATGTTAGGACAATCTACAGACTGCATAAGTGGTATTAGGTCACTAACAGCATCCAAGACCGTCCACGCAGTGGGCGACATTCAGTAACATCGCAACGTCAAGACCGACAGATTGTGCGCCACCATCTGCAGGATCGCTTCCCCAGAGCGACGGAAACAGCACGCCATACTATGGGGACTAACAACAGACCCATCAGTGCCGATACAGTGCGTCGACGTTTGCGCGGAAGAAACCTCTGCTGTCCAAGACAATATCGTAGTCCTGTCCTCACCGCTCATCACCGCTGAAACCGACTGCAATGGGCAACTCAGCATCGAACTTGGCATTATCGACAATGGAGAACTGTGCTTTTATCTCACGAAAGTCGATATTGTGTTTCGACAGTCGATGGCAGAGTGAGTGTATGGCGAAGGCGTGGTGAACTGTTTCCAATGAGTGTATTCTTGAAGGAGACTCGTGGGGTGGTCCAAGCATCACAGTGTGGGATGCAATCGTTCTGAACCAGTTACTTGACACCGTGGTGTTCCAGAATCTTGGTCCAGGATGAGGAAATGACGTGACACCTGTTCGCTATATTGACCAAGGCATAAGACCCCACGTTGTACCACATTTTGAACGAAACAGAAATCACATCTTCCAGCAAGACAATGGTCGTGCCCACACTGTCAAAGCAACATTGGACTTCCTAAGACAACATGGCACCCAAACCCTACAATAGCCTGCAATCAGTCCAGATTTAAGTCCAGTAGAACTCGTTTGGGACGAGATTCAAAGAAGACTGGATGGCCTCCAACCAAGGCCGACAACTGCGGCTGGACTCGATCAGGCATTTCGCAGAGTATGGACCCAAGTGTCTTTTGCCTTCATCAACCGGCAAATTCATTCCATGTACAGAAGATGCAACTCTTTCATCGATGCCCTTGGATGCCACACACGATACTGACTTTGGGGAATCTTAATGGTACAATATTTGGTGATTTTGTTTGTGTGAACTCTAAATGTGATTCCCGAAAATGTGTTAACCATACTTGTCAAGTTTGAACTCAGTCCTCCGTTTTGATTGTTAATTTGTGTGAATTAAAGCGTGTGCTTTAAGAAACCGCAATCGGTGCGACATTTCTTGTGGTTCAGTATATGTATACAACCAGGATGCATAGCACACACGTACTATACCAATATAACATATTTATCTATTTATCATAGGTTGTATAAATCAACATGGTTCAAGGTAGCACAGGATGGGAGTTCTAGTGTTACGTGATAGCTGAGACGGATGAAACTGACATGTTAGCTTAGTTGAAGAGCACAGGTAAGTACGGCATTCGTCAAACTAAACCTCAACAATAGCAGGAACATATACACTGGACTCAACGAAATTGCTAAAATCTGTACTTTACTGAGAAAGTGTAATATCCATTATAACATTTGTTACATGTGACCACTTTCTTAATGGCATGGTGTATTCATGATGTGATACAACTTGTTCGATTTCCAGGAAGAATCAAGTTCCTGACAAGTGGCCCTAATTGGCCTTGTTCAATTGTCCACTCTATGAAGCAGGAATGCCCAATGGACAGTGAAGACCGTACATGAGAACATGAGTCTGCCTCTTCAAGCTGTTCCTCTTTCTGCAGACCCAGCCAGAGTTCGCCCACAGTGGAAGAAATCAACTTTCTTTCAAGTTCAGAAAAACCTTGCTGCAGAAGGCTCTTGATTAAGAGAGTGAAGCAACCGCTACAAGTAAGATCTAGATACTTTCTTTCAGGTGCCCAGTCTGATATGTCAGGCAAAGACCACACTGCTGGTAATCCTTCATTCACTCTTGCCGAGGATTCCAAATCTCATGCCTCTATTGTGCTAGGTGTATCGCTGGAGGAGCCAACCCCCTTGCAATCATCGCTCATCACGTATATTAAATTCAATTCTGACAGGAATAAACCCTTTCTCCAGTATAGGAGTATGCACTATACAGATACACTATACACTATGCCCTTATATTCACGCTTTGCTAGTGTATTGATGACATCAAACTAATCACATACATTATCATACAAGTAATGTGAACTCAGGTTAGTAAATATTTAGCTTAGGATCGTGTATGACGTGAACATCACGCCTATCGCTTTTACCAACTTAGCACTGAGCCGGGTTAAAGGTAAAGCCACATTGTACAATGCACATGTTACATGGATCACTGACCTCGCGCCCTATGTATGCCTGTAGTATGTTGTCATCAGCTTGAGTAGCTTATCAGTGGTTTTGACACGGGTTTTGAATTTTCTTATACACTCCGTAAGGTAAACACTAAATATGATAATAATGATTTTTAATACTGATGTATTCCTGAGACTGATATCTGATGAGGTGCAGCCATTTCCTTTCCCTTGACCTGTCGTGTTTCCTTTGACCTGTCGGAAACATTGTCTCAAAGACATGAGCATTTGGACACAGCCAGGAAACATGTTTCAACACTAATGATAATGAACACAACACACTGTGAACAATTATGTATGCATTGAAAGGCTAACTGGACTACTTAATGGGTAAACGTTCGTTCCTCTGCCTCTGTTGAAGTTTGGCAGAGTGTTCAAAAAGATCAGGAAGAACTTCCAGTTCATCAGCAATTAAAATCTGGTTTCAATGTGCGGGATTTGTGAATGTCCATTAAATATTCACAGGAGCATAAGGAGCATGTTTTGACAGATGGTAAGATTAATACTTCTGATTTCAAACTGAAAATATACGCAAAGGAGACCACCTGTCTCAAAATCGTGAACATACTTTGCATTTTAGTGATGTGCGCTTTACAATGAGGGGAATAATAAGATAGGAAACCCTTGCCATCATTTTTCGCAATAAGTCGGCATGGAGAAGTAAGTAAATGAACAGATGACATCTATCCCATCGGATTGCATAATTAAACACTGGTATGTTTCAGAACCAATTCAGTTCTTCAGAGGATTTTGAATCCTTGTAACAGAACATACCACGTTGAGTCATTTTATCGACAGACTCAGACGAGAACCTGCTTGAGTACCATGGAACGTTGCTGCAGTAAAGCGAAAAGCCGTGAGTTGGTTGTTCTGGTAGCTGCTTCGTCTGTGCGTCTTCTCTTCACTGGTTTGTGGTTCACTCCCGGCATCCTGTACGTCGCCTTCAGGGACGCCTTCCAGCAGAGTGCAGCCGTGACGTCATGGATCACGTCTCTCCAGTACTTCACTACCTGCATCACAGGTGACGATATTAAGGCAGACACATTAGCGTTATGTATCTGGGGCTCTGTGGTTTGTTTCAATGTCCAAGGTTGACTTCCCGCCCTATTGTGTTATCTGGTATGGATTTATAGCTATAGGAAAGGCAGAGGTAACTATGAAGCAAACACCCTTAGAATCCCTTCGATTGTAATGTCAGTCACGATGGCCCTCTAACATGTGCTTCCCCCAAAGTATTTAATATTATCATAGTCTCTGGCGTTACTGTTAACATGTGCTTCCCCCAAAGTACTTAATATTATCATAGTCTCTGGCGTTACCGTTAACATGTGCTTCCCCCAAAGTACTTAATATTATCATAGTCTCTGGCGTTACCGTTAACACTTTACAACAAAGAAGAATTGGGAAACATTTGTATGGATATTTTTCTGTTATCATCTGTCATCTGTGGCCATAATGATATTTAAACATAATTAACTGTTTTCCAATGGGGTAGTAATATGAAAAAGTATAGAACCTTGCATATGATGAACTGGAATATTGTTGTGAGATTCATTCTGTTTTTCCATGCCATCTGCGTACAGTTGCTGGTCAATAAAGTCCTGTTTTGTTGGTTAAACCCTGTTAGTCAACAAAAACAACCAATGATTGGTCCTCGTTAAACATCTTACCTCACACAAGAAAAACAGGTAGTTGTCCCCGGGGACCAGAGATTGTGTATAACATGGGCACGGGTCAAACACAGGTCAATTCTTGTATAATTTGCAAAACAACAACACAGATTTGCCAAACTTTCTCATGTTACGCTTTATTCTTTGAACAATGCAATGCCAATGTTTTTCAACTTCCCCTTTCAGGTGCAGTTGGGGGGTTCGTGATGCCTCGTTTCGGCAGTCGACTGGTCACCATGACAGGAGGAATCATCTTGTCCGGTGGGCTGCTGACCAGCATGTGGACCACTCACATCGCTCACTTGTTCATCACATATGGAGTGCTAGCGGGTACGAGTCGTCACTGTTTGTGCAGTTGTAAATCCTATCGAACTGCATGCATCATAAAGAATGAAATAACGTCACAAACCATCCAGACCATTGTATCATGTATGAAGAAATCTGACGTAATGAACTTTCATTTGACGGAATCGCGTAATCTACATTACATAACAAACGTGTATACAACATGTAAAATAAGAATCTGAGTACTCACATGTCTCAATTTTTCGATCAGGGTTTGGAGCAGGCCTCGGTTATATTGGGTGTTTGGAAGCTGTGAAGGAAACATTCACCTCTAATGTTAACATGGCGTTTGGAGTGAGTGCATTTATTGCCAACTTTGGGATTATGATCTTCCCACCTGTGCTGCAGCTTCTCATTGATACCTACACCTGGAGAGGGATGTTCCTAGTCCTGGCGGGAGTGGAGCTCAACATCATTGTTGTTGCCGCAGTTTTCCCAGGACGTCATAGACGTCCACAATTCGAGACATCCATAGCACAAGAGACAGCCGAGTCGTACAGCCGTGGAGATACGTGCTCAGACACAAATGATGGGACTAAGGATTCATTATTACATGGTGGCTCACCAGGAACAGATCAGACAGTTTCACTGGAGGACAAGACGGTGAAACCAACCTTTCTTCAAAACCATTATTTTTTAAGGAATCGACATTATTATCTGTATGTACTGAGTGGCACCTTGTTCCTGTTTGGAGCTGGGATTATACTGGGACATTTGTCTGCCTATACCCTGCAGAATAATATTACAGATAGCTATGGAGCTGCCATGCTGTATACCGTCAATGCTTTGTCAATGGCGTGTGGAAAATTACTCCACGGAGTTGTGATAACGAAAAACAGAATAAACCCTATCAAACTCCATATATTCGTGTGTGGAATAGGTGGTCTTGCAACGTTGATATTCCTGTTCCATATTCCACTTCCGGTTCTATACGCTTATGTGGTAGTGTTTGGAGCGAGTAATGCTAGCATAGGGGGCGCGCTGATGCCATCCATACTGCTACAAATGGCAGGCTCGGACAACTTCTCCTTCTCCGTTGGCGTTTACACAGTGATCACAGCCATAGGATCTCTCGTCGGAGCTCCAGTTGCAGGTGAGAAAGTAAATCCGGCTATCAAAGCACCTGCGTTGTTTGCATCGGTCTAAGCTTTATTTGTGTTATATCATGATGGCCTTAAGATATGCCAGTGACCCGAACATGTGACTAATACCATGAACAAACAGCTGGTAAGATGATCCGTCACACAGGGGGTTACACAGTAATTTTGTACTTAAATTTGTTAATTTGGAGGGTACATTTTAAGTGATGCCTAACTAGTGACACGCAATCTCAGATATGATACACTTAAGTTTAGTTCATCGAGTATAATGCTTTATCATCCAAAACTGTGTTCCACAGGAGATATCGCTTGTGTGAGATCAAACGATATCTCCTAGGAGATATCGTTTTGACAGTAGACTTTGTACAATGCCCTGACAATGCTATGACGTCATGTACTTGATGACGTCACAATGCTATGACATCGCTGCACTGCAAGTCTAATGGCAGTACCATGTCCAGAGATGTACATTTTTCATTGAAAATTAATGAAGAGTGATTTTGGATGATAAATAGAATCTCACCCTCGTGTCTTCTGATATCAAATATATCAACACTCGTTGATAAAGTAAAAATATCCTCGGCAAGCCTCGGATATTTGTAACTTTATCAACTCGTGTTGATATAATTGATATCAGAAGACACTTGGGTGAGATTCTCTATTTATCAATCTTATGTATCATTTCATTAACATGTACTACATTCAATTTATATTGTTTTCCAAAAGGTTGGATATATGACGTCACCAGTTCCTATACAACCCCGTTCCTGCTTGCGGCGATATCAATGATATCATCTGCATTCATCATGGTGACTTCCTGTCATCAGATCAAGCCCATCCAGGCAAACACTAACGAAGAAGTTTAGATATATGATTTTATACAATAAAGGTATACATCCCCTCAATAGATACACTATAGCCGCCGTCATATATTGTTGAGCGTCATGCTAGATCAGTTTCTTACTTCGTCTGTCATACAGACCCTGAAACAAATGTACCCATTGGAGCCCATGCAAGTCTAGATTACCAGGGTTTCAGGAAAGTGAATAAATCTCTGGGGTCCTTTTTATTTTATTTTATTTTAATTTAATAACTTTTGTTTGTAAAATATGTTCATTTCAGAGACTAGCTTTTAGTTTATTTCTTACTCTGCGTTACGTTATGAGAGAAATTTGATTGATAATACCAGGATCAACAGAAACAACCAGGACTATAATGCGTTTTAATGATAAACGATGATAAATTATATTATCAGCGATAATAGCAAATAAGCATCGACATGTTGAAACTTGACTTGTCACACAGACAACTGTTTGGTGCGTAACATAACTCTTTCATTATAACGGACAACACTGAACGAGCAGTGCCCACTGATGGTCATCTCGCAAAGGTGGGATCACTATAGTCTATACACCAGAACGTTTCTGGCGCCATGGCGTCTCACAACAAACAGGTGTACTGTCGACGGAACATTTGTGTTTGTGTGTTTGGAGTGTTTGGTATGTTTGTATTCGGTACAAAGGTGAGCTGATTTGTCGAGAGCGGATCCTCAAAACCCATGCAATGTTCATGTGATCGTTGCAAACATATCGGGGTTCATATTTTTCATACGATGCCCTTGGGCAAAATATCACTTTAGGAGGAAGTGTTCCATGTCAAGCCTCGATTACGGAGGGAACTACTTTTTCCATTCATGACATTTTTCTATGCTTTACTACGTTCATTCACAGATTGGCACTTCGGACATAACGTCACCTCGGTATTCTCTTGCAATATCATTGTTATTAAAACAAGGTTGTTCAGTTGAGTATATTGTTCAATAAAATAAATAATTTTTTTTAATTCATTCAAGGTTTTCTTACATACTTGTTACATCGATTGATTTACCTGCAGACGACAAGGTAAACAAACAACATGGCTGTCCGATCCGTTTAACCGCTGTCAATCAAAGTCAATGATCTTGGCAAGATCGGTGGCAGATTAGTTGGAAGGGTAGAAAGTGTAATCCAACCGCTTGGGACATTTCATTGTGTGTAATGTTCCAACGGAAAAAAGAAGATGAGAAACAAGTTCAAAGACACAGCCATCAAGTTCTACATTTCGGCACTCGTTCGTTCGTAAACATAGAATGACATGGACACTGGCACAATATCCTATATATAACACTAAGTGTTTGTGACCGTGTACCCTTTCCATGCGTGTGTTATTGAAGATTATAGCTAAAATACATGGATTTATCATGAAACGGCCCTCCCATTATCAGAAATTTGCGGGCCGCTGCAAATGATATTGGACCGCTCAACCTTAACGACGGGCCACTATCAGTTCTGTTGTCAAGTGACGTCATAGTGGGTGCGTCGGTTCATTCGACATTGGCCTGGGACTGGCAGATATTCTGGGTCAAATAAGTCAAAGCAACCCGAATTCCCGCTTTAAATAGCTGTAATATTGGCTTTCTTGCTGGTGCTTACCTTAAAAATTGCACTATTAAGGCTGTTGAAGGACCAAAACCGAACACTGACATAGTTTGACATGTTGCAGGCTATGGTCTTGTCAAAGGCCAAGGTCAATATCGTCACTTTCTGTTGTGACGTCACTTGAATTGTTCGATGACGTAATTGCATTTGGGCAGTCAACCCCGTCAGAAGTTGATTTGGGTAAACTTACAGTCAAATTCCTTCATTGTTTCCTTTTTTCTTTCAACACAAATTCCATGTATTTTAGCAATAATAACGGTAATGCTATTTTTGAGGGCATTATCATTTGCAGAAGCCCTCGGTCTTTTTCAACTGCCCTCCTTCGTCGGGCAGTTAATGGAAGACCTCGGTATTCTGCAAATGATAATGCCCTCAAAATAGCATTACCCTTATACTATTGAATACCAATCTAATCTAGGGTTTTATGTGCAAAGAATATATACTATTACTTAATTTGCATACTTAGATCAAATTTAGTCAAATACTTCATAATAAAACAAGGTTTTATCACAGAATAGAATAGATCGACCAAATCCTCAATATTCTGCAAGTGCTTCATGATCTAGATGTGAACACATTTCATTGTTCTTTTGCGACACTGATTTTAACAGGCCGGGGCAAATTGTATAAATCAGTAAAGGGTTTCACTTTAACGGACAGGTTCGTTATAAATATGATGAAGAGCCAAGCAGTAAGGTTGGATGTGAATATTGATAATGCAATGCGATAGTAATGCAATAGATGTAAACACGTTTGGCCATGTGAGGTATAGGTTGATTTTAAATGCGCCGTCACGAACACCATGGTCTGGGCAGTCCAACACAAACGTACACCGATTATATGATGCTGTGTGCTTTTTCACTTTTGTTGCCATATTGTCAGGAATATTTCAGTTCAACTGACACGCACCTATACCTACTTCCAAATAATGTAAACATCTCTGGCTTCAAGATGAACCCATAAAGAGCCATACTAGTTTAATTAAGGAAATAAAAGAAGTCACTTTCTGCCCAGGAAGTCACACGCCTTAAAGGGGAAGTGTACACGAAAATTAACCTTTAAGTCTTCCACTTTTTCATCGTAAGAAATGTTTGTCAAGTTGTTTTATAGCCAAAACAACACAGATATCAGAAGTAACTAATTTATTTTTTGCGTTATACCAATTCAAAGTTTCCACATTAACCGAATGTTCTATGTCCACAATGAACACACCATGGCTTATGTCCCTTGGAAATGATGTCAATGGTGCCCAAATGATAAACGAATGACGTCGTTAGACCTTATTAGAACCATTTCACGTAGTGCAGGTATAGGTGTGGTTCTTGTGTCTCGATGCGCAGGCTACTGTTTTAATCCACCTGTTGCCTGGCCGTCAGCTGGCTATGTGGTTGGTTCCACACTAGCTGTTACATTGTACAAAACGTGTTACCACTTAACCAAATTGTATAACATTCAACCTGAGTCGGTGGCCTTTCCAATCAACTTCTTTCACCAAAACTCGAACGTACATATGCACTACATCTAGCGTGCCATAGGTGAATGTGAAGGAATTCTACGTTTGGTACATTCCTACATTTAAATCGTACAATATATGTCCGTCCTCACATTGATGCCGAAACCATATCAAAAAACATCACAAAGATACGCACGCCATTTTGAGAAAGCCGCTTCCCGATAGTGATGTCATACGTACGTCAACATTGTTATACATATTTGATATTCCCATTGAGGTGAGATTATGAATTAAAATACACACGATAATTTCTATGTGGCTGCTTACATTGTCAGTTCTAATGCTTCTTTCGTATTTTACATCCGTGTTTTTGCGTGATTAATGTCAGAATTTACATCGTTTGGCTTTGGGACTAGACAGGTGACCAGTTTAAATCAGCTGGCACCAATTACATCATAATCAAAGGGCAGTAACTCTGGACTGTTTAGCTCGGCAAACTGAGGCCTCATAATGGCATAACATTTCAGCACTTATAGTGCGGGTTATACACTCATTGTAAGAAAAATTAGTGTATATTTTCAAACACTGATATTAAGTAATTAAAAAATTACATTTTGGTTCACATAAGAAAAAAGATGACTTTTTCGTGTACACTTCCCCTTTAAGGTAAGCGGAGTGAGATCCTTCCACACCTGACATCAAGACCTGATGGCTCTTCTACGGTGATACCCTCTATGTAAGCATAGTTATCACTTTAATATATTGTTGAATATACATTTGGATGCAGACTTGGATGTGGTGAACGCTGGAGATGTATCCGCCCAGATTGCCACGTTTCGTTTTAGTTTTCTGCAATCCATCTTTGTTTTTCTCAGCTGGGCGGAATGACCCCGTCTCGATCCCCGCTATTTAGGTTGCGGTTGTTTTAAGAACAAGCGACGAAACAGAACAAATGCACACACGAGCGCCAGACCCTGACTAAGGATAAAGGTAGGTGCTGTGGAGACGGTGCAGCTAATAAGGTCTTGGCGGGGAATATATTATGTCGAGTTGGCAATCAATATCTACTGGCTTCACTGTTTGTACCAGCAGTTTACCATCGATCAACAACACCAGCGTCTCTGGGCTGCGGGCGCGAACAGGCAAGGTTATATGCAAAGCACGAATCGGTAACTGAATACTGGTTAAGGACGTGATGAAAACGTGTAACAAAGTATACCCGTTATAATGTAAGACAGTAGTTATACACGAGCCAGTTAAAGGAATGTGAAACCGTTTTGAAACATGATGCCGTTTTGAGCTCGGTGCCGTTTTGAAGCAGAGTGCCGTTTTGAGCTCGGTGCCCTTTTGAAGGAGAGTGCCGTTTTTGAGCTCGGTGCCGTTTTGAATCAGAGTGCCGTTTCAGCTGACCATAATAATCAACTACGCAGATATTCTTGTGTTGTGCGACCAGATGATAAGGGAATATTAGGGGCCATGAAGGAATTTCCATTCCTTACGATGGACAATTCATATGTATTTATACGATGTGCCATTAACAATACACCAATATTACCTTCGAGGGTAAACATATCGGGTTTCATACGATGCCCTAGAGCAAAATATCACCAAAATTTTCCATTCGTGAAATTTTAATATGCTATACTACGTTCATTCACAGATTGGCATTTCGGACATAACGTCACCCCGAGAGTCGCTTGCAATATTATTGTTATTAAAACAAGGTTATTCAATTGAGTATATTTTTCACTAAAATACATAAAATTGAAATTCCTTAAATCTTTTACTTACATACTTGTTACATCGATTGATTTACCTGCAGACGACGAGATACACAAGGTGCCCGATCGGTCAATGCCAATGATCTTGTCAAGATTGATGGCAGATTAGTTGGAGAAGAAGAAAGGAAGAGAAAGTGTACACCAACCGCCATTTCATGGGTGTTATATTCGAACGGAAACAGAGGGTATGAAACAAGTTCAAAGACATCACCTTCAAGTTCTCCCCAAGACTGACGCTCGCGCCTGGCATTCTGACTGGTAGTATCTTGTGCTGACCTTGTACTACGTTCTAAAGTTACTATTTTAAACACGATTCTTGTTTATGGAAAATTAAACGTTGGGAATTACAGATTTACGACTGAAATATATTTTTTCTGTTGTCATTAAAACTCAAGGTTGACAAGTAACTGTCGATGAAAATGTGCACTTGTTTCATATGCTTACAGTAACTGTCGGTAAGTGGTGCTAAGGTATTCGCCTAATTAAGTTGCTATTTTCTTTCGCCGCTATGATATACTGGTGATGCGGCCTTATATAAACAGACACTTCGTTTCGTGTTTAAATGATACATATTTCTTCGGTAATAAACAGATTATCATATTCGTGTCCATGTCATACTTTGTCTACGACACACGTGCCTAAATGTCGGTATTTCCCTCGCTCTCGTTCGAGAAATATTAAAGTTTCAGCACTCGTGTGCTGAAAATAGTATGATATGGACGCTCATATAATGTCCGCTATTTATACCTTACATAACGCGTTGCAAGATGTGGATGTCGACTTTTCGGAGTTGTACCTATTTGACAACACCGTTGGATGTAAGATCATGCGCGGTCATGTTTCAGGCTCACTGATCTGTAAGCGTATTCATTGTCACTGGCTGTCATGATCTGAAATTATAACCCATTTGTCGAGTTCGTCCACCTCACAGCCCTATCTCGTTATCACACCTTAAAGTGTATGTCCCATCTAGAGTAGTGGTTGTGCGCTCGGCGTTCTGGTATTTGTGCCACACGAAAATGAAGAATGTATACATCTAGTACATGTGTACAAAATGTCGGCTGGATTTCAGTACAAGGTGCCTTTTTATTTAATTCACTAACTTTAACTTACTTGTGTTTATTTTTGTAGCACTTATCACTTGCAAAGACCACACTTGCAGCCATCCTCACCATCCTGGTGAATGGTTATCGTCAGCCAATCATTGTCATCGTCGTTCAGAGAGTTTGGGTAAAGGAAGCAATCGCGTCCCCACTTCGTTACAACGGGGAAAGTATGACCACCAATTGCTCAAAGTATCAAGCAAAGTAAAGTTGACAGGTAAGGTAATAGCAGGGATACTCTACAAAATATATAGTCTCCCTGGTAATAGTAAGGTTCTTTATCGATTCATTCCAAATCAAGGCGTGGCAATGTTTCTTGATGAAAACTGACTACGTGTGGCTATATACTAGTGGTGGTCCGATTAATTGAAATAATCGAAGATTGGTCGCAGTGGCTAAACAACCAAGCAATCGAACATGTTTTCTCATAATCGAACGCAACCAATCTTGGAACACTTGTTTGCATTAACAATATTTTTCACAATGTTGGTTTTGTCTGTGTCATTAAGTTTACATTTCATAAGCACTACAAGCTCGTTCCAAGTCATGATTGAATTTATCTTAAAGAATCCAGGAAATCTGTGTTCCTAACATACTAATCATCCTTTAAATATGCGAAATTTGCAAATGAGTTTTGTGCAATTTGCAAGAAACCCAAATTACTACATGTTTTTTATATATGCTTTTGTGTGCATTAACAAAGATAACAGGAACATTTGATAAATGACGCTAACCAATTATTTTCGATGATTGATCGGTTGTAATGGACAAATCATCAATTATTAAATATTAACCAATTCCCAACACTAGTATATACCTTAAAACATTCCATCATTCACCTGTGACGTTGCAGTTGATATTGACTCCGTGAATAAATGTGTCTGAAAAAGACTATGTTAGGAATTAAATGTACCTCACTCTAATCGACGTGTTTGCTTTAAATATGGGCCATTGTGTCTCTCTACGTATTCTCATAGAGTTTGTGGTGTGTTCTGACAATTGAAAAGGCTCCACGATACGTATTTGTCTTCAAAATCGTCTTCTGTATCATTGTTTTAGAACACAATTTATCTGTTGAGATTGTACTGTAAGTAACTGAGGTGGGATTTGATAAAACTATATAAACACGTGTTTCATGTCTTGCTGTGACTGTTGTCTTGCTGTGACCGATGTCTTCCTATGAACGACGTCTTCCTGTGACCGACGTCTTGCTGTGACCGATGTCTTGCTATGACTGACGTCTTGCTGTGACTGTTGTCTTGCTGTGACCGATGTCTTCCTGTGACCGACGTCTTGCTGTGACCGACGTCTTGCTGTGACCGACGTCTTGCTGTGACCGATGTCTTGCTATGACTGACGTCTTGCTGTGACTGTTGTCTTGCTGTGACTGATGTCTTGCTGTGACTGATGTCTTGCTGTGACTGTTGCTTGCTGTGACCAATGTCTTGCAGTGACCGATGTCTTGCTGTGACCGACGTCTTGGTGTGACTGATATCTCGCCGTGACCGATGTCCAGCTGTGACTGATGTCTTACTGTGACTGATGTGTTGCTGTGACTGATGTCCAGCTGTGACTGACGTCTTACTGTGACTGACGTCTTGCTATGACTGACGTCTTGCTGTGACTGATGTCTTGCTGTGACTGATGTCTTGCTGTGACTGATGTCTCGCCGTGACCGATGTCTTGCTGTGACCGACGTCTTGGTGTGACTGATGTCTTGGTGTGACTGATATCTTGCTGTGAACGATGTCCAGCTGTGACTGATGTCTCGCCGTGACCGATGTCTTGCAGTAACCGATGTATTGCTGGGACCGATGTCTTGCTATGACTGACGTCTTGCTGTGAGTAATGTCTTGCTGTGACTGATGTCTTGCTGTGACCGATATCTTGCTGTGACTGGCGTTTTGCTGGGACCGATGTCTACTTGCGAATGATGTCTTGCTGGGACTGATGTCTTACTGGGATGGATGCCCTGTTGACACTGATGTCTTATGTTGGAAATGTCCTAGGTAGGGGTGAGACTAATGTCCTGCTTATGTAGTGGTGAGACCGATGTCCTGCTGACATAAATGTCTTTCTGAGTCCTATGTACTGGTGAGACCGATGTCTTGCTGACATAAATGTCTTTCTGAGTCTTATGTACTGGTGAGACTGATGTCCTGCTGACATAAATGTCTTTCTGAGTCCTATGTACTGGTGAGACCGATGTCCTGCTGACATAAATGTCTTTCTGAGTCTTATGTACTGGTGAGACCGATGTCCTGCTGACATAAATGTCTTTCTGAGTCTTATGTACTGGTGAGACCGATGTCCTGCTGACATAAATGTCTTTCTGAGTCCTATGTACTGGTGAGACTGATGTCCTGCTGACATAAATGTCTTTCTGAGTCCTATGTACTGGTGAGACCGATGTCCTGCTGACACAAATGTCTTTCTGAGTCTTATGTACTGGTGAGACTGATGTCCTGCTGACATAAATGTCTCATTTCTAAGACCTATGACAGTCGTTGGCGAACATAAATTGGCTATTGAGGAGAATAAGAGTCTACAAATATCACACATACACACACACACACATGCACATTTAGAGAAGGTTGCTTTCTTCGGAATAATTTAACGTAATTATGTAATAGTGAAGTCGTAACATGATTCTGTGTTGGGTCGTGGCTGTGGCTCGGTTTGAAGTCGTAGGTGAAAAAAAGTGTTTTCAGAACCACATAATCTTTTCATATTCTTTTCCTTTTTGTCACAGAAACTATCATGGAAAATCTATTGACAGATAGCGGATTACCTGCTTGAGCTGGATATTGAGTCACCACGATGCCACGTTGCTGTGGTAAAGCGACAGGCCATGATGTGGTTGTTCTCGTGGCTGCTGCATCTGTGCGTCTTCTCTTCAGTGGCTTGTGGTTCACTCCCGGCATCCTGTACGTCGCCTTCAGGGACGCCTTCCAACAGAGTGCAGCCGTGACGTCATGGATCACGTCCCTCCAGTACTTCACTACCTGCATCACAGGTGAGGATATTAAGGCAGACACATAAGCGTTTTGTATCTGGGGCTCTGTGGTTCATTTCCTTGCACAGGAACAGGCAAGTACACCACACGTGTTTGTTGATCATAGGCTTATCAAAAATCATTGGCTGTTCTTTACACACCTGGTATCGTCACTATTTCACAGTGATTCATAAACACATGCTCTGTCATCGCATGGTGACAATCACTGGATTGTCTGGTCCAGACTCGATTTGTTTACAAACAGCATCGTACACCTGTAATACTGCTGAAATAAATATATGCTCACGGTATAGCCACAACTATATAATCGACACTGCAGAGATTTCTTATGAATGTGGACATTGTTTTGCCGCTTCTTTGTACGATACAGCCATGATGACAGTGTGTGCAACATCGAATTACAGTCAAATCACTAACTGTGACACCCGATGCTGCCTGGTATGAAAAACATAGCTTGCCACGGTCGTATTCTTTGGAACACACATTTAATGTCTCCAAATGTTCTTCTAGAGCTCTACTTCTTAATGCAATCACGCACATACATGAGCTATTGGAATATAACATTACTGTTTCCGCTATCACCACCCAAAACATCTCAACAAGGGTTAAAAACACTCAGAGACGAGTTTTGTTTGTATCCCCCATAACAAGGCTTATTATAGAGCTTCCTCAGTTTTGGTTTCTCTTCGTTGTGATTTCGTGTGGACAGTATAGAACGACCATGAACATTTTAGTTGCAGAGGTTTTTAAAGGTGAATAGTGTTTAACAGCTCAGTATATCTTTTTTCACCTTGCCATAACCAATCCTTGTGGTAGAAGTAGCATTTTAAAATGATCTCAGGAAAGTATTTTTTTAATATTGTATGAAGGTTTCAGTTACTTGTTTGTAAATGTTACTAAATGTCCACAAACCAGTATTAGTCGCATTCAAAGCGGTTCACAAGCCAGTATTAGCCATACACAAATAGGTTAAGACTAGTATACATGGTACTGTAGTGTTTGTCAACGTTGCAGTATCGTCAGTATGCTTGTTCCGTCTCTTCTCCAGGTCATTAAAGCTTGTTTTGAAGGTCACCCCCAGGTCTGTCAACCAGCCCTCACCAGCAGCAACGAATTCTCCGTCCTTGATATGTTACTGAACAAGCAACTGTGATTGCAAACGTGCAAACATGTGATAGTAAGGGGTCAGATCTGGCGAGTGATGTCTACCAGTAGAAAACGGTATCAACCTTTCTGTAGAACAGCTACTTCAGCATGGCTGACGTTCTCCGACGCTTCACTTTGAATTTGATAACATTGCACATTTCATGCCTCACACATAAATGTCGTTTTCTGATTGGCTAAGCGTCCTTCTCTTATTTTTAATGTACCCCGCTTACAAGCGAGTAACATTTTCTATGTACGCCGCTGGGAATGCCAAACTCATTTGGTACTTCGTGGCAGCAATTCATTGAATCACGTATGATGTACGGAAATTACCTATGTTTTGCGAATGCAAATTGATGGAAGGGAGATAACTCTAAATTTGCTTTTCTTGTCTGCGAAATCTAGCGATGGCTACAAAAAGATTTGTACCCGTGCTTCAAACAATTCAAAATTGACATTGAGGTGTTCGGTAAGATAAATACGTTGTTCACTGGTCCGTCGGGGCACATGGGTTGATGTACCTTCGGGCTCAGGGAACATCGAGGGTACATCAACCCATGTTCCCGTCGTGACCAGTGAACAATATTTTGATCAAATTAGCGTAACATTCGCGATTTGTTGATCGCGGTAAAAAATCGTCGCGTGTTTGCTGTTGCCGTCCCTAAACCCAAGTACTCATATCTTTCGTATTAATATCTGGTTGCTTTGGATAGCCTGCTTTGTCGGAGACTATAGTTTCCACTCCATAAGAGTCTTGTTTGTTCTTGGGATCATTATGATACATCCAGGTCTCATCGCTGTCCAATAGGGCAGGCACACAACTTTCATTAATTTACTTTGCTGATACTGTGGTTAAACCAGGGCACGCCAAGTTGTTCGGCTTGACCCAACAAACACACTTGGACAACATCGGAAGCTTAAACTTTCATTCAATTTCCCCTTTCAGGTGCAGTTGGGGGGTTCGTGATGCCTCGTTTCGGCAGTCGACTGGTCACCATGATGGGAGGAATCATCCTGTCCGGTGGGCTGCTGACCAGCATGTGGACCACTCACATCGCTCACTTGTTCATCACATATGGAGTGCTAGCGGGTACGAGTCGTCACTGTTTGTGGACGTCTGATTATAAATCTTATCGAGTATATAGTTTCGAACTATGTTTCATGAGTGAATATATTGAAAGTTCTTAAGAATGAACCATCTTCACCAAAAATCAAGTACAGTTAAATAATACCCTGATATCTTGTATTATGCAATAATCTTTGAACAAAACCCGTCTAAATCTACACTGATCTCATTTTGTTGACCACTGTAATGTGATAAAGTCATATTCATCAGATTGTCTATTTCGGGGACTGCGATTACAAATATGCATACCAAATGCCGCCGACGAATCTTAGCTTTTACATCTCTCATTGTTCAATCCAGGGTTTGGAGCAGGCCTCGGTTATATTGGGTGTTTGGAAGCTGTGAAAGAAACATTCACCACTAATGTTAACTTGGTTTTCGGAGTGAGTGCATTTATTGCCAACTTTGGGATTATGATCTACCCACCTGTGCTGCAGCTTCTCATTGATACCTACACCTGGAGAGGGATGTTCCTAGTCCTGGCGGGAGTAGAGCTCAACATCATTGTTGTTGCCGCAGTATTCCCAGGACGTCATAGACGTCCACAAGTCGAGACATCCATAGCACAAGAGACAGCCGATGGAGATATATGCTCAGAGATAACTGATGGGACTAAGGATTCATTATTACATGGTGGCTCCCCGGGAACAGATCAGACAGTTTCACTGGAGGACAAGACGGTGAAACCAACCTTTCTTCAAAACCATTATTTTTTAAGGAATCGACATTATCATCTGTATGTACTGAGTGGTACCTTGTTCCTGTTTGGAGCTGGGATTATACTGGGACATTTGTCTGCCTATACCCTGCAGAATAATATTACAGATAGCTATGGAGCTGCCATGCTGTATACCGTCAATGCTTTGTCAATGGCGTGTGGAAAATTACTCCACGGAGTTGTGATAACGAAAAACAGAATAAACCCTATCAAACTCCATATATTCGTGTGTGGAATAGGTGGTCTTGCAACGTTGATATTCCTGTTCCATATTCCACTTCCGGTTCTATACGCTTATGTGGTAGTGTTTGGAGCGAGTAATGCTAGCATAGGGGGCGCGCTGATGCCATCCATACTGCTACAAATGGCAGGCTCGGACAACTTCTCCTTCTCCGTTGGCGTTTACACAGTGATCACAGCCATAGGATCTCTCGTCGGAGCTCCAGTTGCAGGTGAGAAAGTAAGTCAAGCCATCGTAATGTAACAGCTTTAAGATAACCCAGTAAGGACCCGACAACCAGTGATTGAACAAATAGCCACATTGTCAGGGTAGGATGGCAAATGAATGAAATCATCGATCAAGGTCGCTACCGATGGTGTATTTTGATAATCTCAGCAAATTCAACAGAACAAAGGCTAACAGAATTTGTTGCTTAATCAAGCAAACGATATGAATTTTAACTGCATACATCCAAAAGCTAGACGATAAACCTTTACACTTAACTCAGGACTAGCTTTCGAACTGATCATTTAGTCGAAATGTACGAGGTCAATGCATTCGGTAACACGTGCAGATTGGACCTGAAGGGGTCACGTCTAAGGATCCGATGTGTTGCACGTAATTTCATTACATGTTGGTTCCATGATTGTAACGTTTGAAGCATATGGTAGAGAATCTGATTCTGTCTTGACATCATGAATTAAATGTTAGTTCACGGTGTCAAGTCATTCATCCGTACAATGTATGTAACCTTCATAGTCATAGTTTGGAGACCTTTCATTTCTTAATCACTTCATCGCTATGTACCACAATAATTGTATATTTGTTTTCCTAAAGGTTGGATATATGACGTCACCAGTTCCTATAGAACCCCGTTCCTGCTTGCGGCGATATCAATGATATCATCTGCATTCATCATGGTGACTTCCTGTCATCAGATCAAGCCCGACCAGGCCAACACTAAAGAGGACATTTAGAATATATTATGTTTACACAATTTTGTATATTTACACTATAAAGGTTATTTCCGTTAAAATATGCACTATTGCCAAATATATCCGACAGTGTTGTGAAACAGAAAAGCGCGAAACATACACTATTAGTATCTACTCTATGCTACACTATGAGAACATCTGAGCGACGATGCCAGGATCAACAGTGTGTTAGTGAGTGTAGTTTATGAAGGTTGCCAGTGGCAGGGCAGGACACGCCCACCTTTTAGCGAACACCTGGTATCATCACTATTTGATAGTGAGTGCGTGAGTTTAGTTTTACGCCGCCTTTGGCAATGTTCCAGCAACGTCACAGCCGGGGACACCAGTCAGGATCAACATACTGAAAAGGGGTTTACAGAATACAGGCGTACCAGAGAAAACTTTCCCACTGTGCAGAAAAACGCAGAAAAGCCCACATTAATCGTGGAAATAGCAACATAAACATATTACCTCGCTACTGAAACAGTGTTGAGTGCCTTGCCACACACGTAGCATAGAGTAGATACTAAGTCTACGAATGCCTATCAACACCTGGAGTGACAACTGTGTGCTGCTATCACTCCTCTACGTCTCATTGGAACAGTCTGCATACCTATACGGATTCTGTTCTGTGGAATTCGCCAACCATGCCGCAAGGCGTTGGTCAGTTGTCCACGTGTCTGTGCCGAATGCTAACATTGTTCGTCACGTCTACCGATGCATTGTCGACTTCAGGTGCTAAGATCGGGAAGGCCGAGGCAGGAAACTGACGTTTGAATTGTGGAGGAAGCCGATAGTCACACGAAGATGAATTAAGCCGCCAGATTACCCTGTACCAGCAATGCTGTTAATGTATAATGGACATAGACAGTTTTAAAACTTACATTACATATACATGACAGTCTTTACCAGCATTTTTAATCTTTTATATTTCAAAAGATGCATTGGAAAACCAACGAGAACACGAGGAAGTCGCTGTCTCATTTACTCTCAATTTTCCAGTGAATCGATCAAGTGTTGAGATAATGACTGAGCTGGTGCTATTGTCTGGGGTGTGCTGTTGATATGTTTGAGTAGTTTCCAGTTCAGCGCGATGTGTGCGATGGTTACTGCACTTTGTCATTTGATAATTTTCTCTTTCAGTTTTCATAATGGAAAATATGTTTCCCTCTCATGACTGTCTTACCCTTTTGGCATCAACAGTCCCATTTGTGGGATTCCAGTTATGAGACGTAAACAGACCCATCTGTGGTATTCCAGTTATTAGACGTAAACAGACCCATCTGTGGTATTCCAGTTATGAGACGTAAACAGACCCATCTGTGGTATTCCAGTTATGAGACGTAAACAGACCCATCTGTGGTATTCCAGTTATGAGACGTAAACAGTCTATCTGTGGGATTCCAGTTATGAGACGTAAACAGACCCATCTGTGGTAGTCCAGTTATGAGACGTAAACAGACCCATCTGTGGTATTCCAGTTATGAGACGTAAACAGTCCATCTGTGGGATTCCAGTTATTCGACGTAAACAGACCCATCTGTGGTATTCCAGTTATGAGACGTAAACAGTCCATCTGTGGGATTCCAGTTATGAGACGTAAACAGACCCATCTGTGGTATTCCAGTTATGAGACGTAAACAGACCCATTTGTGGAATTAAACAGGCCCTCTGTGGGATTCCAGTTATGAGACGTAAACAGACCCATTTGTGGGATTCCAGTTATGAGACGTAAACAGATCCTCTGTGGGATTCCAGTTTTGAGACGTAAACAGGCCCTCTGTGGGATTCCAGTTATGAGACGTAAACAGACCCATTTGTGGGATTCCACTTATGAGACGTAAACAGATCCTCTGTGGGATTCCAGTTATGAGACGTAAACAGACCCATCTGTGTGGGATTTCCTTTGTGAAGCGTAAACAGACCCATCTGTGGAATTCCAGTTATGAGACGTAACCAGACCCATTTGTGTGCGATTCCCGTTATAAGGCGAAAACAGACCTATCTGTGTGATTCCCTTTATGTTTGAGTGAGCGAGTGAGTTTAGTTTTACGCCTCTTTTAGCAATATTCCAGCAATATCACGGCGGGGGACACCAGAAATGGGTTTCACATATTGTACCCATGTGTGGAATCGAACCTGGGTCTTCGTTGTGACGAGTGAAGGCTTTAACCACTAGGCTACCCCACCGCCCCTCCCTTTATGACGCGTTAGACCCATCTGTGTGGGATTCCCTTTATGAAGTGTAAACAGCCACCCTGTATGGGATGTTAACTGGCCAGTCTGTGTGGGATTCCCTTTATGAAGTGTAAACAGCCACCCTGTATGGGATGTTAAGTTGCCAATCTGTGTGAACTTTGTAGGAAAAACGACCGATTTGCCGGACTATTCAAATATGTCTGATACATATTACACACGACGGTGTTGTGTGACAGCCCTGTTTATGAAATTTATCCCGAGTAGAGAACAATAGAATGACATAAGTTTATCAGAGGTTCAGCTAGATCTGCTAACGGGGCACTCTGTAATAAATCGAAGTAAAAATTTATTCTTAGTATAAGCCAAAGTAAAAGATCCACACGCGACTACTTTGTCGACTATTTTGTTAAGAATGATCAGGGATACATATCTTTTGTTGAAAGTTTCTAAAGTGTTCAAAGCTCAGCGCAACTGACGCACAATCTGAACAGGTGGCTACAATGATCGCCACCAATCAATACGACATGCAAAGTGAGCGTGTTTCTATTTATAGCTATGACTTGACCCATTTTAGGAGGAAAATATCAACTCAACGGTCGGTTTGTTTTGTAATATGAATTTGGTGACATCAGCCGAAATACGTGATGACGCAGTACCTGTTATAGAAAGACTCAAAGATTCCAACATGAAGTAGTGTTATAATACACGATAACAGTTCATGCCTTGCGCCTTGTGACGTAACACTCAAGACGCTACGATAGACATTACCTGATGTGTTAATCTCAGGTAAACTAGTGACACGCCGACGCGATCAGGAACTATTCTGTTAAGGAAGGAAAGCTCCATAGTGTAAGTATATAATACTGTGTAAGTATATAATACTTTGATAGATCAGAACTAGTGCTGTGTAATACCTGTAAATCTTAAGCTATATATCATATGTTGTTAATGAAACGTGAGAGTGAGATCGCGTGGTGATCCTGGGTAATTCCACCACGGTTGTTTCTGTTTTATGTCGACTTCAAGTATGTAAAAACCAATGTGCTACAATCTGTCCGACCTGTGTCTCAGATGCAATAATTAAACAGTTATTTGACTGGTAATGTTTACGTTAAAAGAGGTAAACACCTTTTGGTGAAACCATTTCATATCACATTAATATTTACATGTGTCCCTATATGTCTGTTCACATTCATATGTATGGGGACGTATCTGTGTTATCGAATGTGTTTTCGATATCTTTGTTATGTATATTATAAAAGTAGTCACGTTTTGATACAAAAAAAACACCAACAGGTAATGGTGTACGAAATCAGTTTCTGTGTACTGGCGACACTGACACGGAAGTGATTTGAGACGAATGTGCCCGGGGCTATATTAATCATGCTTTGAAGGAGAGTCGGGTTGCCTCAAGCATGTTTTTGTTACCACAGCCCGGGATAAAACTCTCTACACGAAAGTGTAAAGGATACGTGAGTGAGTGAGGTTTTTTTTTCGCCGCACTCAGCAATATTCTAGCTTTATGGCGTCAGTCTGAAAACATTCGAATCTGGACCAGATAATCCAATAATGAACATCATCAGCATCGATCTACGCAACTGGGAACCGATGACATCTGTCAACCAAGTCAGCGACCCTAACCATCCGATCCCGGTAGTCGCCTCTTACGACAAGCATGTGTTACAGAAGATATTCTACCCCGGATCTTCACGGGTAGTAAAGGATAAGTTGTTTGATAAACCAAATAGAAGCAGAAAGAAAACCCCACTTCCAGCGACGATTCTAAGAATCATTCGTCTTAACTTATCAGAAATATCGGATCAGTTATTCATTTGGATGTGTGAGGTGTTTCATTCAACTGTAATTATAGAACTACAGTTAACCTCGCATTAAGCAATATTCCACCTTAAGCGCTCATCTACTCTCACACCACATACAACTAGGATATATATTACAATCGCAGGACATCAAGGAAGTGTTTTCTCAGGAAGTGTTTTACACTCGCTTCCTCAGAGGTCTATACATATTACAGAGGCGAGTTAGGTTATCTAATTTGTCACGAAATAATTATTCATAAACATGGAATTAAAATGCAGCCTGAATTATTCACGGCTGAATAATGACTGATACCCTCCATGTAGATCATATAAACTCATCGCTCATCAGGGCGGTGGAGTAGCCGAAGTGTGGTATACACCCGGGTTCGATATTCCCATTGGTACAATGTGTGAAGCCCATGTCTGGTGTTCCCCGTGCTGATATTGCTATACACGTCGTAAAACATAACTTACTCATCATACTCTCATCACAGTGGGCAAGCAGCTACAGTGAGTGAGTGAGTTTATCTCTGATTTGACCAGTATTCCTGAGTTACATCTCGGCGTGCCTGGTTTACATGGGAGGAAATCCCGGTGTGATGCGGTGTGTTGATACACACGAGGACTTGTATCATACTGACATCCTACACAGATAATTCGGGATTTGAACCCGTCAGTGGGCTGCTCCCGAGAAGAGTGGGCCACCCGTGAACATCTAAAATTTACCAGAATAAAAGGACTGATACAGTTATGCTCTCTGAAATATTGTACGTTTTTTCAGAATCACTCAAAATGACGAAACTTAAATTTTGAATTGGCAATCCCTTAATTTTCCAAATATTGCGAAACATGAAGACATATTAAGGCACATTAAGGCGGTATTTGGAACAAAGGTGTTGCTACCAGGTTAAATGACAGTCAGATAATACGATAACTTACATATCAGTGGATTTGGATTCAGAGATCGACATCGTCCTCGCGATGGGAAAGCAACTGCATAGCATCTTCGTGGCCGCTGTGACGTCACTGTTAGGGTTCCTTATATCAAGCATTGTGACAACCGTTCACCACGGTACGAACACCCTCGGGCAGGAGTTTGGTGGCGGCTTGATGCCATGGGTTCCTATCGCCATGGTAACGTCATTTGGATTAGCAGGTATGTGCAGAGATAGTGTCTGTCTGCGAGTGTCTGAGAGTGTCTGTCACATACTATTTGCCTCACAACGTTAGATACGTTTCGAAACACGGAGTTGTGAGATATCGTGTCTCAAATACGTGGGGCAGTAACTGTTTTTATTTACCCTAAAATCGCACTGTTTTATTTTCGATTCGACATATGCTCTGTCTATCCTCATCATTACAGCGATGCACAGATAGTTACGTCATCCAGACTACTGCATATTATTCAAACATACATATTATCTTACCTCACCTCACACATGAATGTCGTTTTGTGTTTGGCTGAGCGCTCTTTTGTTATTTTCAAGCGAGTAACATTTTCTGTTACCCGCTGGGAATGCCGAACTGTGAGAATACATTTGGTACTTCATGTTAGTAATTCTTTATCTCGAGTAATTGAGTCACCTATGATGTTTGGAAATTACCGATGTTTTGCGAATGCAAATCGATTGAAGGGAGATAATTATATATTTGTATTCTTGACTGTTAGATTCTATATCATCTGAGAATCGCTAATTGCCTAAATCTGGTACTCTTTATTACGATCCGATACCTTTGCTACAAACAGTTCAAAATTAACATTGAGGTGCTCGGGAAGATAAATACGTTGTTCACAGGTCCCTCAGGGCCCATGGGTTGATATACCCTCTATGTTTGTTTATGATACCCCTCGTGACCAGAGAACAACTCATAATGTGACCCTCCATACAAACGTTTCCGTCATATCTGTGTTTTGTTGGTGTTTTTTGGTTGTTAACAACAAACACACATTACGCCCGGCACAATTCCGGGCTGATACTAACAGCCAGTCCAACACACACGTGCATGCACCCCACTTTACCCAGTGTTCCAGCCAGTCCAACACACACGTGCATGCACCCCACTTTACCCAGTGTTCCAGCCAGTCCAACACACACGTGCATGCACCCCACTTTACCCAGTGTTCCAGCCAGTCCAACACACACGTGTATGCACCCCACTTTACCCAGTGTTCCAGCCAGTCCAACACACACGTGCATGCACCCCACTTTACCCAGTGTTCCAGCCAGCCCAACACACACGTGCATGCACCCCACTTTACCCAGTGTTCCAGCCAGTCCAACACACACGTGTATGCACCCCACTTTACCCAGTGTTCCAGCCAGCCCAACACACACGTGCATGCACCCCACTTTACCCAGTGTTCCAGCCAGTAATACACGTACAACATGCTTTGATTCCTTCAGCCCCAGCATGCGGTGTGATTGCCACTGTGCAGGGAGCCAGACTGGTCAGCCTGGCCGGAGGAGTGGTGGTCACTTTGGGCATGCTGATTACCGCCTTTGCTCGGTCAGAGATCCATGTATTTATCACCCACGGGATCATCATGGGTATGTCAGTTTTCAAACAAATAAATCTCCAGCAAAATATATTCAGTCGTTACAAATATGTTATAAACATTGTATCCGCATTGTAACTCAGTTATGTACGATTTTAGTCAATTTTAGCAAAATTAAGTTTTTTTTCTTAAATCGCAACTTAGTTGTTTGATAAATACGACCCCAGGTCACAAACCAATTGAAGTTTATCACAGAGAGTCCTTGCATGGGTACCGTGTTTGGCAGCTTGACTCCTGAGAGTTTCTACTTCTGTCCTGCCCCGGGTATCCGATGGGATAAGTCATATGACTAACTTCTACAGGCATCTCGGGTTATCCGGGGTAATGATGTCCATTGTGATGCATGCACCTAGAGCATGAACGTGCGACGTGCAGTTCAGCTCTATATAAGTGACCTTATTATGAAACGAACCGTTTGAACATAAAACGTGGTTCCGTGTCATCCACTGCTGTGACTGAATAATGATTAAAACTACTAACGGTACAATTTCAAACACACAACCCCCAAATGAAGTAAACATATAAACCTGCTGGAATACAGTAAATACGACAGTAATAACACTGTAAACTCAATGTACAATTTGTTTCCCACAGGTATTGGGTGCTCCCTAGTCTATATCGGAATCTACGAGTCGGTTAAGACAGAGTTCACAAGAAACAGAAACATTGTGTACGGCATCCTCGGATGCATCAGCGTCCTTGGCCACTTCACTCATCCCCTGATACAGAACATGATCGACGTGTACCACTGGCGGGGGACGTTGCTCATCTTGACGGGGATACTCATGAACATTATACCCCTTTCCTGCCTCCTCCCCGGGGCTAGTTACAGAAGTGATGTTCCTGAAACAAGCCCTGCACAAGAAGGCCTCATCAATGACATGAACAAGAGGCTAACAGTTCGTACTGCTTTGGCTAAGAGACCCAATGGGATCAGACTATCGGCGAGACGGGACTCGGAAGATTTAGAAACTTTGTGGAACCAGAAAACTGATGAACGACACGTGTTCGCAAAGGGATTCAGGATTCTTGCAGTGATGAAGATTTGGAGAAAGACCGGTTTCTACGGCCTCTTATTTGCCGCCATTCTCTATGGGTATGGCGTGTCTGTCATCCGCGGCCATATCCAACAGTATGTCCACGAGAGAAGCTTTGCTGTCAGCGCTGGTTCTGAGACACTGTTGATAGTGTTTGGCGTGAGTGTGTGCGTCTTGACCCTGTTACAAGGAGTTGTTACCAACTATTTCCTCGACCCTGTGTACTGGTACGTGATACTTGCTACAGTCGGAGGGCTGTTGACATTCGTGTTCATCATCCCACTGCCACTAAGTATAATATTCGTTTACACAGCGTTGTTGGGAATGAGTTTTGCGGGAACAGGAAGGGAGATAACTGCATCCATCATCATCAACCTTGCAGGAGAAGACAACTTTGCCTTCCCATTTGGAATATGTGTATTCGTGTCCACAATAGCGATGTCGCTTGGTACACCGTCGACAGGTACGTGCATTGATGTGCAAATTCAGTATGTTAGCTGTATCTCGGCATCTACACGGGGTGAAGGTTTATTTGGTGAACCCCTCGTGATGAGAATGCAATTATAACGATTAGAATTGAATTGGGATTAGAGACCACGATCTAGGGAGTCCGTACACTGACCTGCTAAACCTAAGATAATTAATTGTTTTGCTTAATAAAGTGAGTAATGGATATTGATGTCAAACAACTTTCTGAACGATAAACAAAGTCCTGTAATTGTAATAAACTCTCATGCATGACTCACATATACGATTTAAGGCTATCTGCCTAATATTTATGGCTGTATACATTAGTGATTAGTTTCCTTATATGATGCACGTAAACATGCATTTGTTCCTATGATGGAGGGCAGGTATGCGCCATTGAGTGGCGTTTTCTAACGTCCATTCACCATGACATGTTTACACGACCTTTCTTCTTTCTTTGTGCTGACATAGCTGCCAAGATGCAGTCATATGTAGATCCATCCACCCTCTAGGTGTTGTCAGTTGTAAGATAGTCGTGGCGACCTATTGAGTCGTCAGTAAAGTGCAGAGGGGCCACACAAGGACAGGCGTGTTATGCTGACATAGCTGCCAAGATACAGTCATATGTAGATCCACCCACCCTCTAAGTGTTGTCAGTTGTAAGATAGTCGTGGCGACCTATTGAGTCGTCAGTAAAGTGCAGAGGGGCCTCACAAGGACAGGCGTGGTATGCCGAGATATATATCAACAAGTAGGTCGATCTCAATCGATTGCCCACAGCGTGCACTGTTCACAACGTGTGTTGCAATAAACACTCTAAAGAAGTTGACATGCTGTTGCGAGTGTTAAATTATACAGACATGGCTGGGCATGTCCAAACTTAAATAGATCCTACATAAGCATATAGGTGTATACTGTCGAGATCTCGTGTACTGTATATTAGTAGGATATATATATGATCAGTTGTTTTGTTTCTAGAGCCGCGCTTTTCCAGTTACATGATGTTTGAATTGTTTGGTCTGGGCCAGACTGTCCAATGACTGACATCGATGTATGCTATTGGGATATTACACATATCAACCTCTTGATCCCGTATAGAGGGGGCGGTGGGGTAGCCTAGTGGTTAAAGCGTTGGCTTGTCACGCCGTAGACCCGGGTTCGATTCCCCACATGGGTACAATGTGTGAGGCCCATTTCTGGTGTCCCCCGCCGTGATATTGCTGGAACATTGCTAAAACCATACTCACTCACTGTCATATAGAGGGTGTAGCTAAATGTTTATTTGAATATTTGATATTTCAATCTGTCAGCGTGTCATCTTGACATGGGAAGAAATCTGGAAGTGATGAAGGTAATCAGGGCAATTGTTGGATCTGAAGTTTCCAATCTCAGCATCTTCTCAGATGTAACTCAACTGACAGAACACGAGGAGTTCAGATCTACGAGATGGTTACACATACACATGTATTACCCATATGGGAAGGACACAGGGTAGTATTTCTCTTGTAGTGAGTGAGTTTAGTTTTAGGCCCTCATAGCAATATTCTAGCAATATCACGGCGGGGGACACCAGAAATGAGCTTCACACATTGTGCCCATCTGGGGAATCGAACCCGGGTCGTAAGCGTGACGAGCGAACGCCTTCACCACTAGGCTACCCCACCACCCCATTTCTCTTGTAAGTCCTTTGGGAGGTTACACCTTTTGGTGAACGATGATTGGCTGATTCCAGCCAATGAAATGAAGCGGCATCAAATACGAAGGAATATGGGGATTCCAGCCAATGAAATGAAGCGGCATCAAATACGTAGGGATATGGGGATTCCCCACATAGCGGGTTTCATTTAGCGTTGTTTAGACTGAAAGCGGATATGGGTAATAAAAACATTAACCAACTCGTGACGGGCATGACAGATTATCTTCCCCTCGTTATGTTAACTGTTATTCTCTCGCCAAGGCTCGAGCAATGCATATTTTATAAAATTCGGGAAAGATAATTTGTCATTCCTCTACAGCCTCTGCATTTGGATGTTTCAGCATGGGTTCTGAAGAAGGCACATTCATACAAGCCTGTGTTTGCAATTGCTGCAGTTGCCATGGCGATGGCGGCCATCATCATTTTCCTGTTACAAAAGAAACTGAAGAGGACTTCCCTTCAGTTGGAGAGGTCGCGTAGTCGTGCTTTCTCTGACGATGACTCAGGGTAGGTGACACTGATGTCTTCTATATCCAGTAGATCATAACGAATATCATTAGAATATTTCTAACCGGTCATACAAATAAATATCATTAGTGTATTCAGACATCGCTAACTCTGTGTGTGAAATGGTACATGTCACATCTGTAAGTCATAATATGTCATGTTCTACTATGCTTTCAGCGTGGTGCTTGTTACATCACTCTGAAGAACTTTCACCTTGATGCTAAGATCCATCTCTTGGTGCTAATATCCGCCACTTCCTGCCACAAGATCCGTCCTTATCCTGGTCCACTTGGTATCAAAACACAGTAATGATCGTGATTTGTGGACCGGAACTCAGTCTGCTATCGAGTTGACAATTGAGAGTTGACAGACCGTCGGGCTGTGTGTGTGTGAAGCTAATGTAACTTAGTGCAGATAACTGGGATGGTTTGCACAACTGGCCAGTGTAAAGCGTCCTATAGGATGACATCAGGAACATGGAAGTTCAGACAGGAGGACAAAGCTCTAATACTACTATGGCTCTACAACCCTACATTTGGACATTGCACCGCACGGGTACCAGTTGTACAATGAGTTTCTCCTCCACCACAAATCGAGATGTTACAGTGAGAAGCTGTAAAGACAGTAGCTAAAGTGTGTGTGAAGCAGCCATTGCGACGATCTGTCTCTGTGTTTTGTACCATGTGCGGTTATATGATTTCCTTCGTCTATGTTGTATTTCATTGGACTCTTGAGTTATACAATCACTATAAAATCATGATAGAACAGTAACTAGTTTTTCTCACAGATCACAGTCACTGATCAATGTTATTTTCCCTTCTGCTCAACCCTATCTGTAATCTGAAAGTCCTAAATGATGCAAGTCTAGCTTTTTCCCATTCTCTGAGTCCCCCACTAGAGCTTCTCTTCTAATCAAATAGAGCTATTTATTTGTATCAACATGACATACTTTCATATACTAAGAATCAGTTTATGTAGTAATGAACCCCGCTTAGTCCATATGAGTTATTATCTGCATATCGAAGCCTGTGTCTGTGCTAACTGTAAACAGATCACACCATACACACACATGTAACACTCGATGGATCTGAAGCTGCTCTTCTACAAGAAACCGTTGTCAAAACTGCAAATATGATGGAACGATATACATTTGTAGACGTCGTCACCAGCATTTGACAGCATGCATGATCAATTGTACTTTTTTACAATACACTGTACATATATATACTATAGATGATTTAGATGTTCCTGGTACTGATGATATCCGCTGGTGTGTATACCGTATGGGAAATGTTTTGTTTGTTAATAAAACGTGGTTTCTCTGCATCTTGATTTGGTTTGTTGTATAAAGCCGCACTAACCAATAGTCCAGTTATATTACTTCAGTCTGTAAATAATTGAGTCTGGACCAGACAATCCAGTGATCAACAGCATGAGCACCGTTCTACGCAATTGGGATACGATGACATGTGTCAACCAGATCAACGAGCCTGACCACCAGATCCCGTTATTCGCCTAACGCCTCTTACGACAAGCATGGATTACTGAAGGCCAATTCTAACCGGGATCTTTGGAGATGACATTGTAAATGACACTAACATTTTAGTGCGTCTTGCTAGTTTCAAGGTGACTGATCGTGGTAATGGATCCTCGGGACGTCATTCCTCTAAATGACAATCATGAATCTACACATATTGAAAGGATACGGTCTCGTAAATGTGTTTCTAAAAGGTACATGCTATTCACGTATGTGTCTACCTGAGAGTATACACTCGGCGATATTACAGTACATCATATTTCCCAGGAGACACGTCATTCCTCTAAATGACAATGATGAATCTACACATATTGACAGGATACGGTCTCGTGCATGTATTTCTAAAAGGTACATGCTATTCACGTATGTGTCTACATGAGAGTATACACTCGGCGATATTACAGTACATCATATTTCCCAGGAGACACGTCATTCCTCTAAATGACAATGATGAATCTACACATATTGACAGGATACGGTCTCGTGCATGTATTTCTAAAAGGTACATGCTATTCTCGGCAATATTACACTACATCATATTTCCCAGGCGACACGGCATCATCGTCCATACGGTTGTTGGTCTGTTCTCTGACCCGCCCCTGGCAGTGTTGGTAGCACCTGTTGGCATACTCCCAGCATGGTTTCTCACACAGCAATTCTTCCACAGACTTGTTTGGCCATCGTCCGCATTGAAACAGCTCCATGCAGTGTTCATAACTACGCACAAACATACTCTCACAGTGCTGGCTCCCGTCGCAACATCCGAAAATGATCAGACTCAAAGCAATGCCAACAGCTGACATGACTTGGGTTGTCTGAAGAAAAGAAAATAATTCGTAATATTTCATGTTGCTCGTCACTATTGTTATGAGAGTGGTTTTGTTTTTGTAATTTGTAATATCACATTGATTAAGTGATTGTTATTATGGGTCACAATGTTTAAAGTTTTGAGTGTGGGTTTTTTGCTCGCATCTCGCATCATATATGTTCAATGGCAATAGTATTTTTAGCGGTACGCCTTTTTGATAGTGCTTCAGAGTTGCCTCCCGTGGCTGGCTTCATTTTGTCTTGATTTCCGGCCGTGTGTTCGAGAAAATCGCCTAATGTTCTGAGAGAATAATGATGAAGCCTAGCTTTGCTAGAATGCTCGAGAGCTGCATAAGAGCTATATAAAGGCTGGTTGTTGCGTTGTGCGACGGGACTGATCACATCACTGGAGTTATACACATCTGTCCTACATTTCAAGACTGATCGTGTTTGTCTATATTCAACTGTTGTCATTGTAAACAACCTTCAATCAGTATATCTGTTCTCACTGTGAATGTCAAGACTGGGGGTGAGTTCATATTTTAGATTTGCGACTCAATTGCATTGTACTAAATATGTGTATTGTCATATATTTTTACTTTGCTCATTGTTTGTTCAATATATTATTGAATATTTTAGACTTGTTTGTGTTCTATTTTGCTGGTTCAACGGGGACTATTAAACATTCCGTCACGGCAAATTATTAACCACCACACTATCCAGATATGACGCACTTATGAACTGGACCATCTCCGCGCAACGGTGATGCAACGGTCAATTTGACATGAGCCAATGGATTGTCTGGTCCAGACTCGATTGGTTGACCGCCGTCATATGGCTGGAATATTGCCGCATGAGGCGTTAAACAACAACCAAACATTATTTAACATGAACTTACAAATGAGTGATATTATTTTGATTTCATTTGACTTAGAATTGCATTGCTTATGTTTTGTCAAAAATTGCTTACATATCTTTTAACAATAAATACTAAGGAAATCCAATGTTCAACAGCTTATGTTGCATCAGAACCACCTCAGATCAATAGGTATACTTTTCAGAGATATAAACATACTTCTAGCCGATCGGGCACCTGAATTGTATCCAACTGTCCACGTGTACATCATCCCTTCGTGCGATCAGACATGTTTTACAGGGATGGAAATAACTTTAAAAATGCTAGTGTACTCCGGTACAGTTGCACATGTAAAATCACTTGCCCTGATAATTGTTTCACTGTGCCTGCCGATTTTCTTGTTGATTTTTTAAATGAACAATATCATTAACATTGGAAAGTCAACTGGACACCGTACAGTGTGATATACAAATTTGCTTGCCCAACAGAAAATAAAACTGGACTGGGCCGTCGGGCAATGGGTTGTTTCCACCCCTGTCTTAAGAACGTCGTGATCGTTGTGTCCGAAGTCAGTATAACTAAAATATTGGTTTCAGTGTTTTTGACACTGTGTTGACGATCTTGCATACCAATGGCACCATTCGAGGTATACAAACATTGACATTTGTCTCTATCTGTCAGTTAAGTCAGTTTAATCAGTATACTAGAGGCGTGCACTAACAATACCAGTGAACATACATGTATTTGGAGGATGCATGTTGCACTACCATGACCAGTGATCGTGGTTGGTACATCCATGTTGCACTACCATGACCAGTGATCGTGGTTGGTACATGCATGTTGCACTAGCATAACCAGTGATCGTGGTTGGAGTATGTACGTTGAACTAGCATGGGTTCCAGGTACCTATGCATAGACGTTATTGTACACAATTCATGTTCAGCATATCATAAATCTAAAATGCATCTACTGAGAATCTGAACAAACTCTTTCAGTTTAAAATAAATAAGCTTACCTGTTGGTTGGAGAAAATGCTTGTTGAACTGACTGGTGACGATCCATCCTCTGTTATATGCGCTAAAGTGACGCCTCATTAAGGTAATTGTTTCGTCAGTGATTGTCACTTATCGGGGTATAACATGTACAATTTGGCTAGATGTGTCAAAACCTGCAGTGTAGCTACTATTGGTCATGCTGGGATAACCAGGTTCCGGTGTGTGGAGGTGACCTCTCATTACTGCCCGTGACGAGTGGTCACTGGGGGAAGGTGTGTGCAGCATCAGGGCTCATGTCAGCACAACATGTTTCTCATTGATTGTAATTAGTAGATTGGGTTAAGATTATGATCACCGGTCAGTCTGAATGTATTACCTGAGGGTATTTGACTTAAATAATATGTGAACAATCACAGCGTAAAGTCATTAACTTTAAATTTGATTACACCTCCTTCAAATAGTTGACCCACAACTTCGAATGATTAACTTTAAAAAATAGATATTGCTGAACCGAGGTGCAGTGATATCGATGTGACTTATGGTGAGGTGAAACGAGGCAACCTGAGATGAGTTGAGCTGCTGTAAGGTGAGGTGAAGTGAGCTGAAATAACCGAGGTGAATTAAGTAAGGTAAGGCCAGGTGAAGTGGGTCTAGACGAAAAGGGGTGATGTTGAAATGCAGTGAGGTATGGCGAGGCGAGACAGGAAGAGGTGAGTTGAAATGCATTGAGGTATGGTGAGGCGATACGGGAAGAGGTGAGCTGAAATGCATTGAGGTATGGTAAGGCGATACGGGAAGTGGTGAGCTGAAATGCAGTGAGGTATATGGCGAGGCGAGACGGGAAGAGGTGAGCTGAAATGCAGTGAGGTATGGTGAGGCGATACGGGAAGAGGTGAGTTGAAATGCAGTGAGGTATGGCGAGGCGAGACGGGAAGAGGTGAGCTGAAATGCAGTGAGGTATATGGCGAGGCGAGACGGGAAGAGGTGAGCTTGAAATGCAGTGAGGTATGGTGAGGCGATACGGGAAGAGGTGAGCTGAAATGCAGTGAGGTATGGCGAGGCGATACGGGAAGAGGTGAGTTGAAATGCAGTGAGGTATATGGCGAGGCGATACGGGAAGAGGTGAGCTGAAATGCAGTGAGGTATGGTGAGGCGAGAAGGGAAGAGGTGAGAGGTATGAAATGCAAATGTGAGGTATATGGCGAGGCGAAGAGGTGGAAGAAATGCAGTGAGGTATGGTGAGGCGAGATGGGTTGAAATGCAGTGAGGTTTGGTGAGGCGAGAAAGGGAAGAGGGTGATGTTGAAATGCAGTGAGGTATGGCGAGGCGATACGGGAAGAGGTGAGTTGAAATGCAGTGAGGTATATGGCGAGGCGATACGGGAAGAGGTGAGCTGAAATGCAGTGAAGTAGGTGATGTTGAAATGCAGTGAGGTATGGCGAGGCGATACGGGAAGAGGTGAGTTGAAATGCAGTGAGGTATATGGCGAGGCGATACGGGAAGAGGTGAGCTGAAATGCAGTGAGGTATATGGCGAGAAGGGAAGATACGAAATGGAAGAGGTGAGCTGAAATGCGTTGAGGTTTGGTGTGGCGAGACGGGAAGAGGTGAGTGGAAATGCAGTGAGGTATATGGCGAGGCGAGACGGGAAGAGGTGAGTTGAAATGCAGTGAGGTAGTGTGAGACGAGACGGGAAGAGTTGAGCTGAAATGCAGTGAGGTATGGCGAGGCAATACGGGAAGAGGTGAGTTGAAATGCAGTGAGGTTTGGTGAGGCGAGACGGGAAGAGGTGAGTTGAAATGCATTGAGGTATGGTGAGGCGAGACGGGAAGAGGTGAGTTGAAATGCATTGAGGTATGGTGAGGCGAGACGGGAAGAGGTGAGCTGAAATGCATTGAGGTATGGTGAGGCGAGACGGGAAGAGGTAAGTTGAAATGCATTGAGGTATGGTGAGGCGAGACGGGAAGAGGTGAGTTGAAATGCAGTGAGGTAAATGGCGAGGCGAGACGGGAAGAGGTGAGTTGAAATGCATTGAGGTATGGTGAGGCGAGACGGGAAGAGGTGAGCTGAAATGCATTGAGGTATGGTGAGGCGAGACGAGGTGGAGAGGTGAGGCATGGTGAGGTTAAATGAAGCTAACGACATTTGGAAGAGGGTCCTCATGATACTGAAACGTGCGTGTACTTGTATAAGTAGCTGCTTTACGGATTAGTTTTCTTTGCAGAAGCTAAACAAACTTCCATAGCTGAAAGCAACAAAGAGTCCTTCTACAGTGCCAGCCAAACGAGATGCCATGCCACAGTTTATCCACGTCTTGCACATATCTCCTGAATGCTCAGTGCCAGGCATGGTAACAGGAATTATTTTATCTTCTCTTGGTTCAAGGCACCGACCTCCGGCTCTCCAAGCGGACGTTCAAGTCGCTGGACTACTGAAGCGGCCACCGTTTTGTATGAGTCATTTAATGACGTGGTTGCAACGTGTGACGTTGCTGTCATCGTACCGTTTGATCGTTGCTCGGGATATTCACGTTTATTTTCCAAGGTTAAGGTTATCACCTGCTACCTGAACATAAATACCATATTGCTGACTGATGTGAACATACATTCACTTGTTGGTTTACCTGATTACACTTTGCGGCAGGAGAATGCATTTGATTTACACTTATGTATTCTCCACGATACCCGCTTCGTGGGGCGTCATGTCCGCTTCATGTCAACCCAATGTGATCATAAATCATTACCACGGAACACGTGGTAATCATATATCTCCATTTCCTGCAACAACGGGAAATTGACAGTAATCATCTTGTCTAAATTATCAAAATAGATCTGTTTTCAATCCGCAAGTATTGGACCCTCTATTATCGAGGGCTCTCTATTATCGCTCTTGAAAAAGTCATCTATTTCATTGGAGAGTCCTGTCTAATCGTAGAGATATTAAAGTATTCATCTTTGCAGTAAGTTTTTGTAAATTTTGAAACTATTATGACCCCTGCCGCCTATGCATCTAGCACATATCAAAACTTACTTCGTCAAGAGTAATCCTGCGACAACTGTAAGGTCATTTGCATATTTTCCGTCCTAAAACTACAACAGGAAGTGACGTGTTGTGGAACTTCAAGATGCACCCCTCAAATTGTATGGCATATTTTAAGGCGGCAAAAATTATTTTGTTACGTTATTGTTACCTTGTATCCAAATAAAAAGAACTTTCAGATGTTTTGGTTAGAATCATTTTTAATATGAAAACTATGTATATTCGTCACTTGCCTTAAGTAAACGTTTGACATTGTCATTTGCTTGATAATAGAGAGTTGCTTCAATTTCCAGGTCAAACGAGGCAATAAGGGTTGTCTGTATCGTATTGAACGAGTTGCGATTATATGCCACATTATCTGCGACACAAATGAAGATTAAACATCAAATATAACGAAAATGAAAATCTGTACAAAATGCCAAATGTCAGTAGGCGTTCATAATCCCGATAGCAACAGCATTAAATACCACGATAATAGAGGTTCCCATGATACTTGTTAACTGCGGCTACTTAAACCATTATCTCCCCTGGAATTGTAGGAAGTGCGCAGGTGGTATTTTCTGAACGCTTTAACTTGGATGCAAGGCGGGTCGAAATCACAGTGATCCTTGCAGTGACTCCCGTATCTGTCGATCGTCCAAGGCAACTGAGTGAGTATTATGTTGGCTTCTACACTTCTAGGAAGAAAATAGAATTGAAGTATGACATGTTCCTTCTCATACGAATAACACATCCAATGAATTAGATCTGTGAATAGAAATATGTTCTCTAAAGCGTGTGATGTTTTATCCAAGCAAGCCGAGAAGGCTCTGTATCCAATCAAGACATTTATCTGTACCTATAAATCAGTGCTTCCAGATATCGCTTTTAAATATTCGATGGAAATATCCAACCTATCCTGTTGTACGGGTCAGATTCTTGGGGACAGTGTATCGACACAACATTGAAAAGGTACATTCAATTTTTTTGTAAATTTGTCTTACGAATTGGTTACCGCTCACTCACAAAAACTATCCTAGCTGAGTGTGGACGATATCCACTGGATGTAAATTACAAAGCAGGAGTAATATAGGGGATACGGTTGCTCAGACAGCCTGATTTTCGTATTTCGAAACGATCGATCTCATGTTAAACCGTTTAGATGATTCTGGAGATATTAATTGGACCTCAGCAGTGAGGGAGTTATTGTTCCAGCGTGGCTTGTCTTATCCCTGGATGAACCAAGACGTAGGTAATAAAGAATTGTTCATGTGTATATTCAAACAAAGATGTAAAGATGTTTATTATCTAGAGCGGTCAGCTACCGTGACTGCTTCCTAATATTTACGCACATATTCAACCTATAAACTTGACATAATGCCGAACACTTACCTACGAGTCTTGCCCTCGGCTCATTTGCGTAGAGCACTGACAAAATTTCGATGTGGTATTGTTGGTTTTAACATACAATTATACAGAAGATCGAAAAGTGCAGATATCGCAATTGCCAAGTGTCCACATTGCCTTACTAAGTTAGAAAATGAATATTATGTATTACTAGAATGTCCATTGTACGACGATCTACGGAAAAAATATCTGCCATGTTATTACTACACCAACCCCAACTATCACGAGTTTGTAACTCTTCTGAATTCTGAATTCAAAATCAGCGACTGTAATATATTAGCTGTGTTTTGTACAAAAGTACCATCACATATAGTTCATATATGAATCAATGTCCAGGCGATCCGGACTCTCTACTATTATGAATGTCGATGTACTGATGGCTGCATTGCCATTCATACAAATAAAATCATCTGTCTGTCTGTCAGATCGGTGGCTCCGATGTCACATACATACACATGTGTACAATCCGCATCACTGGCCAATGATAGACATCAAGCCGTTCCTAAACATTGGGCCTTCTCCATACAACCAGATTCAACCTTGTGTCATTTCTATAAGATATGGACGGAATCATCAGTACACTACATGTATCATACAGCTCGCTGTTGTATAGGTACAATACTTAAATTATTGTATCTCATCTATCAGGTTCGTGTTGACATAGTGGTCGTTATTCTGTGGTTCCGGAATGTATAATCTCGTGTTGTTATTATCGAGTTATTTGTGTGGTATACTTTACCACTAATATATAATATTATCTAGTGTTTATTGACATAGATGGCCCGGCAGTGAGAGGGGACGCAATTCACTATGACTATCACTATTCAGTATGACCTGCCATTATATCAAACTTCTCTCCAAGTGTATGCTATTTGTGTGACGATATCCTACATGTATGTTTTGATTGTGACTAAGAAGCCACGAATATTGTGTACATGACGCTAAAACACCACAGAAAATGATTGAGAAGCAGAGCGACCTAAGTGTGACTTAGGTTGTTTTGACATAATAATATCGCATTAATCGTCATATTGAAATCTACGTTTTGGTGAAATTTCATGTTGATACATTAATATTTTGCAGAATTACAGCGTGTTGAATATGGATGATTTATACCAAAAAGACCAGTTTTCTTCTCCTGAAAACCTTCAAAAATATTCGATGGAAAAATCCAACCTATCCTATTGTACGGGTCAGGAAATCTTGGGGATGGTGTATCGACACAACATTGAAATGGTACGTTCAAATTTTTGTAAATTTGTCTCCGCTGGTTACCGCTCACCCACAAAAGCTATCCTAGCTGAGTGTGGACGATATCCACTGCATGTAAATTACAAAGCTGGAGTAATATACGGGATACGGTTGCTCAGACAGCCTGATTTTCGTATTTCGAAACGATCGTATCTCATGTTAAAACGTTTAGATGATTCTGGATATATTAATTGGACCTCAGCAGTGCGAGACTTATTGTTCCAGCATGGCTTGTCTTATGCTTGGTTGAACCAAGACGTAGAGTAATAAAGAATCGTTCATGTGTATATTCAAACAAAGATGTAAAGATGTTTATTATCAAGAGCGGTCAGCTACCGTGACTGCTTCCTAATATTTACGCACATATTCAACCTATAAACTTGATATAATGCCGGAAACTTACCTACGAGTCTTGCCCTTTGCTCATTTGCGTAGAGGACTGACAAAATTTCGATGTGGTATTGTTGGTTTTAACATACAATTATACAGAAGATCCATAAGTGCAGATATCGCAATTGCCAAGTGCCCACATTGCCTTAATAAGTTAGAAAATGAATATCATGTATTACTAGAATGTCTATTGTACGACGATCTACGGAAAAGATGTCTACCATGTTATTACTACACTGACCCCGACTATCACAAGTTTGTAACTCTTCTGAATTCAAAATCAGCTAGTATATTAGCTGTGTATTGTACAAAAGCACCATCACATATAGTTCATATATAAATCAATGTCCAGGCGCTCCGGACTCTCTACTGTTATGTCGATGTGCTGATGGCCGCATTGCCATTCATACAAATAAAATCATCTGTCTGTCTGTCAGATCGGTGGCTCCGATGTCACATACATGCACATGTGTACAATCCGCATCACTGGCCAATGATAGACATCAAGCCGTTCCTAAACATTGGGCCTTCTCCATACAACCAGATTCAACCTTGTGTCATTTCTATAAGATATGGACGGAATCACCAGTACAACTACATGTATCATACATCTCGCTGTTGTATAGGTGCAATACTTATATTATTGTATCTCATCTATCAGGTTCGTGTTGACATAGTGGTCGTTATTCTGTGGTTCCGGAATGTATAAACACCACAGAAAATAACTGAGAAGCAGTGCGACCTAAGTGTGACTTAGGTTGTTTTGACATAATAATATCGCATTAATCGTCATATTGAAATCTACGTTGTGGTGAAATTTATGTTGATAAATTAATATTTTGCAGAGTTACAGCGTGTTGAATATGGATGATTTATACCAAAAAGACCAGTTTTTCGTCTCTTCTGAAAACCTTCAAAACAGGACTTAAGTCGTTTTGCTCCTCAACACTTCGGTTTTCCTTAACAGTGCCGTGCGTGTGTACTTTCTTGTGTACATTGGTTCATAGCTTCATATACAATGTCATCCTTCCACACAGTTGGCGGTGTATGTAGGTCACATTCAATAATAGCGCATGAATATATAACGTGCAATATTCTCTCCCAGTGTATCATAAGTTGTACCATAATTTGTATCACCTTCTCTCATAGCATATAGAAAGAAGACTTCTTATCCCCTTCTGTACTGCTGTATAACACATATTATAGTTAGGGTTATTGTCCCCGTAGATTATAATTATATCTACACCGGTATGTCACATCCGTTCCTTCACAGGTATTAAGGTGGTGGAGGTGAGGTGAAATGGGGTTAAAGTCGTACTTAAGAATATTTCGCTCACATGACGACGTGCATGCGTGTGTATATGTGTGCCGCGGTATGCCGCTTAGATTCGAGCTGGTTTTATAGTGCAAGCTCACTGAGATGCCATGCCGCAGCCGAAGCATGAATACCCTTCCACTCAGACAATATTAAAACTGACCTCGAGCCGACCCGTCCTTGTATCCATTAATGCCGAGCGCCAGGCAGGGACGAACAAGTACCATATTTTAACGTCTTTTGGTGCAAGCACGGCCGGGTGGATCGGACCCGCGACCTTCCGCTGCGGGAGGACACTCCTAGCAACTACACCACGGTGGCGCTCCCGGCGTATATGGGGGCGCGGTGGGGTAGTCTAATCGATTAATGCGCTCGTTCATCACGCCAAAAGCCCGGTTTTGATTTCCCACATCGATGATACAATGTGCTTTACAGCGTAATATTGCTTTGAATATTGCTGAAAAAGCGGCGCAAAATCAACCCCATTCACTCACTCTAAGTGTTTTGAATGGAAATCCACTGGCATATATATCCTCCTACTTTGTGTACGATGTATATCATGCCCTGTATGCCACAATAAGTTGAATACTGTAATAAATTCATGATCAGCCCTGACGTGCAATGAATGATGGGGATAATTACCGGTGATATTCAGGAGTACAGTTTCTGACATCCATATATTCGATGTCAGAGTTGACAATCCACAATGTCTTGTCATAACTGTTTTGGCATGATCAGCGTCTCCATTATTTCTGAGTTCCCAGCATTTTATGTGGAATATGTTTCATTATACCCTCAGGATGAAGACCTTCCTGGCCCTGACGTCACTACTTCGTGCTTACGACGCATGCTTCTGGAGTTCCACCTTCGCACTTCAATGGATACGAGGTGTGCGGTCTCAGTCTCAGTGCATGAGCAGCTACGACATCTGCATCAGTCTCGGCGGATGTGACGACATCGTCGACTATTCCGCTACATGTTACACCTGCCAGCAGCCCTGCTTCAGTGACGGCGGGGAAACATGTCTGGGGGAAATGTGGTCAGCAATACCTGTAGTAGACGAGCTACCGCCGTACTACACTGAACTCCGCCGCGCATGGCAGCACAGCTACCGCCGTGCTATAAGAACTCGCCGCAGCGTAATTGCAACATAGCTACCGCCGTTGGACCTGTACTACGCCCCCTACATCGACGCCGACGACTCCAGGTGGTGCAACAACGTAAGGATACGGACTTTACAAAACTGGAGGCGAATCTGGTTTCTGATGAATCACGTTTTCTTTTTGCAACGTCACGACGGAAGACAGCGTCTGTATAGGAGACGTCATAAACGTTTAGCGCCCATCTGCGTCCGACAGGTGGACAGATTTGGCGGAGAAAGCGTCATGGTTTGGGGAACCATCTCATACAACCAGAAATCTGACTTGGTGATCGTTCAGGGAACCTGACAGCCCAACGCTACATCAACCACGTGTTAGAGCTTCACCTTCTCCCGATTATTGACCAACAGACACAGATTTTTCAACGGGACAACGCCCGGCCTCATACTGCACGTGCAACAATGAACTTTCTGCAGAATTCCAACGTCAATGTCTTGCCATGACCCTCTAAATCACCAGACCTCAACCCTATTGAACACCTGTGGGATACTCTGGATCGACGCGTACGTCAACGTCAGCCGCCGCCACAGACGCTGCAACAGCTCGCCGTTGCACTGCAGGAGGAGTGGAGAGCCATTCCCCAGGAAAGAATCCGGCGTCTTATCCGTTCTTGTCCAAGGAGATGCCGTGCAGTGATTGCAGCGCGTGGTGCTCATACGAGATACTGAGACAGACGCCCCCCTGGTGACAAACTGGTGTCTGTGAGATGACTTTTGAAATGACAATTTTAAACATGCCCATCTGGGTTATTATTCTGCCAAATTTCAGACTTCTGTCTTAAATAATAAAAATGCCGTGTCGTCCTAAAACTTCAGATCAAAATCTCTAAAATACAGGGGTTGCGTTTCTTTTTTGACAGAGTTTAGAAAGAAGACTTCTAATCCCCTTCCGTACTGCTGTATAACATATATTATAGTTAGGGTTATTGTCCCCCGTAGATATAATTATATCTACACTATGTCACATCCGTTCTTAGTGTATTGGTGGTGAGGTGAGGTGAAATGGGGTTAAAAGTCGTACTTAAGAATATTTCGCTCATATGACGACGTGCATGCGTGTATATGTGTGGCTGTTTGCGCTAGATTCGAGCTGGTTTTATAGTGCAAGCTCACTGAGATGCCATGCCGCAGCGAAGCATGAATACCCCACTCAGACACATTAAACTGACTCCGAGCCGACCCGTCCTTGTATCCATTAATGCCGAGCGCCAGGCAGGGACGAACAAGTACCATATTTTAACGTCTTTTGGTGCAACACGGCCGGTGGATCGGACCCGCGACCTTCCGCTCTCCGGGAGGACACTCTAGCAACTACACCACGGTGGCGCTCCTAAGTGTATGGGGGCGCGGTGGGGTAGTCTAATGATTAATGCGCTCGTTCATCACGCCAAAAGCCCGGTTTTGATTTCCCACATCGATGATACAATGTGTGCCTACAGCGGTAATATTGCTTGAATATTGCTGAAAAAGCGGCGCAAAATCAACCTCATTCACTCACTCTAAGTGTTTTGAATGGAAATCCTGGCATATATATCCTCCTACTTTGTGTACGATGTATATCATGCCCTGTATGCCACACAAGGAATACTGTAATAAATTCATGATCAGCCCTGGACGTGCAATGAATGATGGGGGATAATTACTGTGATATTCAGAGTAGTTTCTGACATCCATATATTCAAGATGTCAGAGTTGACAATCCACAATGTCTTGTCATAACTGTTTTGGCGATCAGCGTCTCCATTATTTCTGAGTTCCCAGCATTTTATGTGGAATATGTTTGTTATACCCTCAGGATGAAGACCTTCCTGGCCCTGACGTCACTGCTCGTGCTTACGACGCATGCTTCTGGAGTTCCACTGCACTTCAATGGATACGAGGTGTGTGAGTCTCAGTGTATGAGCAGCTACGACATCTGCATCAGTCTCGGCGGATGTGACGACATCGTCGACTATTCGCTACGTTACACCTGCCAGCAGCCCTGCTTCAGTGACGGGGAAACATGTCTGGGGAAATGTGGTCAGCAACACCTGTAGTAGACGAGCTACCGCCGTACTACTGAACTCGCCGCGCATGTGCAACACAGCTACCGCCGTACTACAGAACTCGCCGCGCATGTGCAACATAGCTACCGCCGTACTACAGAACGCCCGCGCATGTGCAGCACAGCACCGCACATGTGACAACACTTGATATGTGCCGCTGTTGTGCGATTTGGACCTGTTTATTTTGTGCAATAATTTTACCAATGCGGACATAAGTAATGTACTATTCTGCGTAAACGTTGCATGTTAATCTGGTATTCTGTGATTTGTAATTATGTTTCAATTCACAGTTCTTATCCACGGAAACTCACTTCCATTACGTCCACAAAAAGGGAGAGTTCAAGCCAATAGTATGAACATACTTTGATACAGCATGTATACTGAATGGTACAATGTACATGTCACAATCATTTTAGTAAATTCACGTCATTCAACAATATATTATTCCTTGTCAGGCTGTGGAGCTAATAGATGCTATGCTTTAAACACTTGCCGCTTTGCTTGGGCAGATCATGCACAGCTTTTTTGCGAATACTTGGTGTTATCTGGGATTTTCAGTAAACCATCAATACAATTTAACCAATATTCTGCCTTTTACGCCTATTTCGGCCAACACCACGACATGGTTAGTCTGTGGCTTTGCCATTTTGATTCTCCGTGCTTCGCATTCCCTGCAATGCTTGCAGCATCAGGAATTTTCCCTGCATTTTGTCCTGGCATTCTCCCATTATTTTCACCACTAGGCATTCCTATGTTCTTGCAATATTTTCACCACTAGGCAATCCTACATACCTAGACTATTTTTACCATTAGTCATTCCTACTTTCTTGCAATATTTCACTACTAGGCATTCTTAAATTCTTGCAATATTTCCACCACTATGTGTTCCTACATACTTGCACTATTTTTACCATTAGTCATTCCTACTTTCTTGCAATATTTTCACCATTAGGCATTCCTAGGTTCTTGCAGTATTTTTACCTCTAGGTGTTCCTACATACGTGAACTATTTTTACCATTAGTCATTCCTACTTTCTTGCAATATTTTCACCATTAGGCATTCCTAGGTTCTTGCAATATTTTCACCTCTAGGTGTTCCTACATACTGCACTATTTTTACCATTAGTCATTCCTACTTTCTTGCAATATTTCACTACTAGGCATTCCTACATTCTTGCATATTTTCACCACTAGGTGTTCCGCAATATTTTCACCTCTAGGTGTTCCTACATTCTTGCAATATTCTCATCTCTAGGTGTTTATAAATTTTTGCAATATTTTCACCCCAACGCTTGCCTGCAATGTGTTTATCAACAGACGTCTATGTCTGCACTATTTTCACCACTGTTTTCCTGCCTTTCTTTTCCACCACTACCTGTCACTGTTATCAGCACTGTCTTCCTGCCTATCTTTTCCATCACTACCTGTCACTGTTATCAGCACTGTTTTCCTGCCTATCTTATCCACCACTACCTGTCACTGTTATCAGCACTGTTTTCCTGCCTATCTTATCCACCACTACGTGTCACTGTTATCAGCACTGTTTTCCTGCCTATCTTATCCACCACTACCTGTCACTGTTATCACCCCTGTTTTCCTGCCTATCTTATCCACCACTACCTGTCACTGTTATCACCACTGTTTTCCTGCCTATCTTATCCACCACTACCTGTCACTGTTATCAGCACTGTTTTCCTGCCTATCTTATCCACCACTACCTGTCACTGTTATCAGCACTGTTTTCCTGCCTATCTTATCCACCACTACCTGTCACTGTTATCAGCACTGTTTTCCTGCCTCTCTATCCACCACTACCTGTCACTGTTATCACCACTGTTTTCCTGCCTATCTTTTCCACCACTACCTGTCACTGTTATCAGCACTGTTTTCCTGCCTATCTTTTCCACCACTACCTGTCACTGTTATCAGCACTGTTTTCCTGCCTATCTTATCCACCACTACCTGTCACCGTCATCAGCCACTGTTTTCCTGCCCTGTCTTTCCACCACTACCTGTCACCGTTATCACCCCTGCACCTGCCTATCTTATCCACCACTACCTGTCACCGTTATCACCCGTTTTCCTACCTATCTTATCCACCACTACCTGTCACTGTTATCACCACTGTTTTCCCTGCCTATCTTTCCACCACTACCTGTCACTGTTATCACCACTGTTTTCCTACCTATCTTTTCCACCACCGTTATCAGCACCCGTTTTCCCGCCTATCTTATCCACCACTGTCACCATATCACCACTGTTTTTCCTGCCTATCTTTTCCACCACTACCTGTCACCGTTATCACCACTGTTTTCCCGCCTATCTTTTCCACCACTACCCGTCACTGTTATCAGCACCTGTTTTCCTGCCTATCTTTTCCACCACTACCTGTCACCGTTATCAGCACTGTTTCTGTTTTCCTGCCTATCTTTTCCACCACTACCTGTCACTGTTATCACCACTGTTTTCCTGCCTATCTTTCCACCACTACCTGTCACTGTTATCACCACTGTTTTCCTGCCTATCTTTTCCACCACTACCTGTCACTGTTATCACCACTGTTTTCCTGCCTATCTTTTCCACCACTACCTGTCACTGTTATCACCACTGTTTTCCTGCCTATCTTTTCCCACCACTACGTGTCACCGTTATCACCACTGTTTTCCCGCCTATCTTTCCACCACTCCCGTCACCGTTATCAGCACTGTTTTCCCGTGCTTCCACCACTACGTGTCACTGTTTCACCCCTGTTTTCCCGCCTATCTTTCCACCACTACCTGTCACCGTTATCACCCCGTTGTTTTCCTGCCTATCTTTCCACCACTACGCGTGTCACCGTTATCACCCCTGTTTTCCTGTCCATCACCACCTGTCACCTCTTATTTGTTTTCCCACCTATCTTTTCCACCACTACCTGTCACTGTTATCAGCACTGTTTTCCTGCCTATCTTTTCCACCACTACGTGTCACTGTTATCACCCCTGTTTTCCTGTTATCAGCTTTTCCCGCCCTATCTTTTCCACCACTACCTGTCACTGTTATCACCCCTGTTTTCCTGCCTATCTTTTCCACCACTACCTGTCACTGTTATCACCACTGTTTTCCTGCCAATCTTTTCCACCACTACGTGTCACTGTTATCACCCCTGTTTTCCTGCCTATCTTTTCCACCACTACCTGTCACTGTTATCACCCCTGTTTTCCTGCCTATCTTTTCCACCACTACCTGTCACTGTTATCACCCCTGTTTTCCTGCCTATCTTTTCCACCACTACCTGTCACTGTTATCACCCCTGTTTTCCTGCCTATCTTTTCCACCACTACCTGTCACTGTTATCACCTGTTTTCCTGCCTGCCTATCTTTCCACCACTACCTGTCACCGTTATCACCACTGTTTTCCTACCTATCTTTCCACCACTACCTGTCACTGTTATCACCACTGTTTTCCTGCCTATCTTTCCACCACTACCTGTCACTGTTATCACCCCCTGTTTTCCTGCTATCCTATCTTTTCCACCACTACCCGTCACTGTTATCACCACACCCCTGTTTTCCTGCCTATCTTTTCCACCACTACCCACCACTACCCGTCACTGTTATCACCACTGTTTTCCTGCCTATCTTTTCCACCACTACCTGTCACTGTTATCACCACTGTTTTCCTGCCTATCTTTTCCACCACTATGTGTCACTGTTATCACCCCTGTTTTCCTGCCTATCTTTTCCACCACTACCTGTCACTGTTATCACCACTGTTTTCCTGCCTATTTTTCCACCACTACCTGTCACTGTTATCAGCCCTGTTTTCCTGCCTATCTTTTCCACCACTACCTGTCACTGTTATCAGCACTGTGAGTACATTAACCCTCGGAGACTGCAATAGTTCTGCAGATCCATTAACTGTTAACCCAACCCAACATACGTACAGTTTGCTCAATATATCTAGACGGGATAGTTATTCACTGACACATCCAAGTACAACAAGTACTAAAATCAGTAGAATCATGTTTTTCCAGAATGTTTTCCTATTTATATCTGGGGCTGACCTGCAATACTTCTGGAAACACGCATATCAATAACAAACTTATTAAGTTGGTGGTGTATCAGTGATGGAGGAGTTATCGCCCTTGTGTACACAAAGGCATGTGCGCTGAAGACATGTGCGGCTGCCTGCGATCTCGCTTTGTGATTTCGTCACGAGTCAGAGAGCAGGTGACCTACAAAAGCTCAGAGTTAGCATACGAACCAGCCCACTCACGAGGAGTGTATCGTTACTTGTAAATCGCACGCGGGTCACGTCATGCGTTCTGATACATGTTTCAAGTAGGGCGGGTGGAAGCTCTAACGTGGATGATCTCACAATGCAGATTGACACACCAGTCAGTATACATAGTACATGCATGTGATTATAGCACAGTTGAAAACTCACCGAGCGTGTTTAACACCACAGCAGCAGAACACACTGTGTTGTGTATATTTGCTGTCGTCCATTTCTACCCACAATCCAATATATATAATTTTTGATAGAACAAACAAGCCCATTTAATGAAAAGGATCGGGTGGTCAGGCTCTGCTAGACTTCTTCGTTTAGGGCTGACTACATATAGGCATAATGTGGTTCAGGGACTATCCCCACATTCCACGCGACTTGTAGGGATCGATGCTCATCGCTGACTTCGTTGACACTGGTATCCCAATTGCGTAGATCGTCTCATGCTGTCCTGGAGACTCGATTATTTACAGTAAAGCTGGAATATTGCTGAATGTGGCGTAAAACACTCACTCACTCCCAACCCACGCATAAATGTTTCCTTTGCAGCTCATAACATTTCTGCGAATATGCATACCAACAATAAATTCTAAACATTCTAAATTCAAGACGCAAGAAATGAAGGACATTCACTAATATATAGCACATCTAACACTGATACAACACGTGCACCCACGTTCTACCAGACATCATTACTAAACCTGATGAGCCCCTCCTGAACGTGCTATTGAAGGGTAACCCTACCACTACTGTCCCAGACTGTGTGGTCTCATTATGTTCACACAGGGGCCCTTAAAGCCACAGAAGACGTTCCCGTTTACCTATTATAGGATATTTATATAGCGCAAATATCCACGCAACTGGTAAATGCTCAATGCGCTGTTTTTCCCCTCGTTCATTGGATGTCAATCTCAACAACACGTCGTATTATCAATATCAACTCCCTGGGGATCATACAACTCTTGCAGCCACTAGGCACA